AAGTTAATTTATTCATTTGAAAGTCAGAGTTACACAGAGGAGAGGCAGAGAGAGAGAGAGAGAGAGAGGTCTTCCATCCGCAGGTTCGCTCCCCAGTTGGCTGTAACTGCCGGAGCTGTGCCGATCCAAAGCCAGGAGCCAGGAGCTTCTACCAGGTCTCCCACGTGGGTGCAGGAGTTGAAGGACCCAGGCCATCCTCTACTGCCTTCCTAGGCCATAGCAAAGAGCTGGATAGGAAGTGGAGCAGCCAGGTCTTGAACTGGCTCCCATATGGGATGCCGGCGCTTCAGACCAGGGCTTTAACCCGCTGCGCCACAGTGCCAGCCCCATCATTTTTTTTTTTTTTTTTTTTGACAGGAAGAGTTAAACAGTGAGAGAGAGAGACAGAGAGAAAGGTCTTCCTTTTCCGTTGGTTCACCCCCCAAATGGCCGTTATGGCCGGCGCTGCGCCGATCCAAAGCCAGGGGCCAGGGGTTTCCTCCTGGTCTCCCATGCGGGTGCAGGGCCCAAGCACTGGGCATCCTCCACTGGCTTCCCGGGCCACAGCAGAGAGCTGGCCTGGAAGAGGAGGAACCGGGACAGAATCCGGCGCCCCAATTGGGACTAGAACCTGGTGTCCCGGCGCCACAGGCGGAGGATTAGCCAAGTGAGCCGCGGCGCCAGCCTCCCATCATTCATTTTAAAATGCTTAATTGTATGTTATGTGAAGTTCACTTCAGTTTTTAAAAAGGTTAAACATATATAAAGAGCTAGCCATTCATTTTGAGCTTGTAAAAAGTTGTATAAGCTCTTTAACACAGTAGGGACATAAATGACATTCAAGTTAGTTTCTTTTCCCTTGCATGCTTCTACTTTCAATGCTTATTTAATCACAAGTGTTTACATGTAGAAAATTGTTGGCATGATGTTATCCAATTTAATTTCCTCCTTAATGCTTTCTCTGGAAAAAAATGGAAATCATATAATTTGTGTTCTTAGGATAATTTGTACTTAGGAAGAATCCAATCCAGAAGCAAACCATTATTTTCCTATTACTCTAAGAGTGGCTGTGAAGGGCTGGCTAATCCTCCGCCTGCGGCACCGGCACCCTGAGTTCTAGTCCCTGTCGGGGTGCCGGATTCTGTCCTGGTCGTTCCTCTTCCTGTCCAGCTCTCTGCTGTGGCCCGGGAGTGCAGTGGATGGCCCAAGTGCATGGGCCCTGCACCCACATGGGAGACCAGGAGAAGCACCTGGCTCCTGCCTTCGGATCAGCGCGATGCACCGGCCGCGGTGGCCATTGGGGGATGAACCAATGGAAAAAAAGGAAGACCTTTCTCTCTGTCTCTCTCTCTCTCTCACTGTCCACTCTGCCTGTCAAAAAGAAAAAAAAAAAGGCCGGCGCCGCGGCTCACTAGGCTAATCCTCCGCCTAGCGGCGCCGGCACACCGGGTTCTAGTCCCGGTCGGGGCGCCGGATTCTGTCCCGGTTGCCCCTCTTCCAGGCCAGCCCTCTGCTGTGGCCAGGGAGTGCAGTGGAGGATGGCCCAGGTGCTTGGGCCCTGCACCCCATGGGAGACCAGGAAAAGCACCTGGCTCCTGGCTCCTGCCATCGGATCGGTGCGGTGCGCCGGCCGCAGCGCGCCGGCCGCGGCGGCCATTGGAGGGTGAACCAACGGCAAAGGAAGACCTTTCTCTCTGTCTCTCTCTCTCACTGTCCACTCTGCCTGTCAAAAAAAAAAAAAAAAAAAAAAGAGTGGCTGTGGAGGAGTTAAGAGATTAGTTGAAAATTTATGCTGTGGCCTATCTGGTTAAGCCACTACCTGTAGCACCGGCATCCCATATGGGCTCCTGTTTCAGTCCTGGCTGTTCCACTTCTAATCCAGCTCCTTGCTAATGGCCTGGGAAAAGTAGCAGAAGGTGGTCCACGTGCTTGGGCCCCTGAACCCATGTGGGAGAGCTGGAAGAAGCTTCTGGTTCCTGGCTTTGGACTGACCAGCTCTGACTTGCAGCCATCTGAGGAATGAACCTGCGAATGGAAGATCTCTCTGTCTGATTCTCCCTCTGTCTCCTTGTAATAAATAAATCTTTAAAGAAAGAAAATTTATACTTCAAAACATTCATTATCAACAGTGTAATAAACAAAGTGTTCAGATAGTTATTTCTCCAAAACTGGTTCTTGGTACCTCTTTGCCAAATGCATTTTCTGTCTATATATTTTTGAAGGGCGGGAGTTTGGTCTAGCAGTTAAGACTTGAATCCACATCGGAGCATCTGGGTTCAATTCCTCACTCTAGTTCCTGACTCAAGCTTCTTGCTAGGCAGATCCTGGAAGGCAGAAGTGGTAACTCAGTAATTGGTTTCCTACCACCCATGTGGGAGACCAGCAGAGAACTGGATCAGGAGTGGAGCAGGCAGGACTTGAACCAGCAGCCATATGGGACGCCAACACTGCAGCAGGGGCAGCTTTACCCACTATGCCACAGCGCTGGCCACCCTTGTGGTTTTTTTTGGGGGGGGGGACATTCTGGGGCAGCAGTTAAGCCACCCTTGCAGTGCTGGCATCCCATATGAGCTCCAGTTTGAGACCTGGCTGCTTCACTTTTGTTCATTTGTTTGTTTTAAAGATTTATTTATTTGTTTGAAAGTCTGAGTTACACAGAGATAGGAGAGGCAGAGAGAGAGAGAGAGAGAGAGAGAGAGAGAGAGGTCTTCCATCCGATGGTTCACTCCCCAGTTGGCTGCAACGGCCGGAACTGCACTGATCCAGGAGCTTCTTCCACGTCTCCCTTGCGGGTGCAGGGGCCCAAGAACTTGGGCCATCTTCTACTGCTTTCCCAGGCCACAGCAGAGAGCTGGATAGGAAGTGGAGCCCATATGGGATGCCGGCGCTTCAGGCCAGGGCTTTAACCCTTGTGCCACAGCGCCGGCCCCTGCTTCACTTCTGATCCAGCTCCCTGCTAATGTACCTGAGAAAGCAGTGGGAAATGGCCAAGTGCTTCCACCTACATGGGAGATCTCAATGGAGTTTCTCCATCTCTGTCAACAACAACAAAAAATAGTAGACTGCCGGGCTGGGCATCTAGCCTATGGATAAGGTGGTTTTTTTTTTTTTTTTTTTTTTTTTTTTTTTTTTTTTTTTTTTTTTTTTTTGTGGACAGGCAGAGTGGACAGTGAGAGAGAGAGACAGAGAGAAAGGTCTTCCTTTGCCGTTGGTTCACCCTCCAATGGCCGCCGCGGCTGGCGCGCTGCGGCCGGCGCACCGCACTGATCCGAAGCCAGGAGCCAGGTGCTTCTCCTGGTCTCCCATGGGGTGCAGGGCCCAAGCACTTGGGCCATCCTCCACTGCACTCCCTGGCCACAGCAGAAAGCTGGCCTGGAAGAGGGGCAACTGGGACAGAATCTGGCACCCCGACCGGGACTAGAACCCGGTGTGCCAGCGCCGCTAGGCAGAGGATTAGCCTAGTGAGCCGCGGCGCCGGCCGGATAAGATGCTATGAGCCTGTGATTCAGGGGCTGGCGCTGTGGCGTAGCGGGTAAAACCGCTGTCTGCAGTGTTGACATCCTATATGGACACTGGTTTGAGTCCCAGCTGCTCTGCTTCTGATCTGGCTCTCTGCTATGGCCTGGGAAAGCAGTGGAAGATGGTCCAAGTGCTCGGATGCTCTGCACCTGTGTGGGAGACCTGGAATAAGCTCCTGGCTCCTGGCTCCTGGCTCCTGGCTCTGGATTGGCACAGCTCTGGTCTTTGCAGCCAATTGGAGAGTGAACCAGCGGATGGAAGACCTCTCTCTCTCTCTCTCTCTCTCTCTCTCTCTCTCTCTCTCTGCCTCTCCTTCTCTGTGTGTGTGTAACTCTTTCAAACAAATAAAAATAAATAAATCTTTAAAAAAGAGCCTGTGGTTCATATTAGGGTACTTGGGTTCAGTTGTAGCTCTGCTCCTGACTCTAGCTTCCAGCTAATGCAGATCTGAGAGGCTGCTGTGTTGATTTAAATAACTGAACTTCTGCCAGCCACATGGGAGACCTGGACTGATTTCCCAAGTCCTGACTGTGGATGAGACCTCTCTCTGTTTCTCTCTCTCTCAAATAAACAAATACACAAGCAAATAAATAGACAAACAGGCTACAGAATAGGGTTTTGGAGATTCTTAACCTTTCCCTGGATCCAGACTTTTTACTACATGACTTCTGCCATTCTTCTAGCTAAAAACGCAAAGTCTATTTCCCAATCCATGAACCTAGGCTGGCCTTTTGCTCCAGCAAATGGAATGTGGCAGAAGTATTGATGTGCGCTACCCCTAAGCTTAGGACCAGAGAGTTGGGTGTTTCTCCTTGGTCCCTTGCACCTCCACTTTTACCATGACAGTATTCTCTAGGGAGGCCTGGTAGAGGAAAACAGACACAGAAGGAGCCATCCTTGCCCTTGCGGTTCAGGTGATTCATTGTAGGTTAGCCGACCAGCCCTCAGATTGTGTCCAGCCCCCTCGGCAAGATCAGCAGCACTCCCTAGCCAGCCGCTCTAATGTGTGAGCACACATGCTCATTATTACACCTCTGAGGGTTCCTGGTTGTGACACAGCCTTATCATTGGCAGCGGAGCTCTGTTAGCAACATGCTGTGTTGCTACTGTTTGACCCTAAGCATTTGTCAAATTTCAGAAGTCCAGAAACTCTTTTAAATGGAAATATCTGCAATTTTTAACACACCAAGGAATTAACATCCAGCAAAGAAGGAAAAGCAATAAGCAAATATAATTTTTATTTCTATTACTGAGAGTAGCCATTTGTACTACAGACTGCCAGGAAGCCAATATTGAGAATAAGTCAGGTTGCCTACACAGAAGTAAAAAAGATGATTGCAAAATGCACTGTTATATTTCTGAAAATTACATTCCATATATTATCTCTCACTGATTAGCACTAAGCAAAATGGGAAGTGGGTTCAACCAAGCAAACGATGAAATTTGGCAATAGAAATGTAAACTCAACTCTGATTAATTAATTTGTCTGTTGATCCTTGCAGCTGCAGATGATGATGTCTATATTGGAAGAAATAGGAGCTCCAGAGACATTGAAGAGAGTTCCCTTCCCCAGGGAGCAAGGTCAGCTCAAGTGGTGAGCTTTGAGAGGCTGAAATGTTACCTTGGGTCTGGAAATACTTAGCGATGCTTGTTAGGCTACCGATTAAATTTCCCCAGCAGCTCAGAACTTTTGGTATTGATTGAGCTGTGAGATGCTTCATGACTCTATCAAAGTCAGGGCTCATTTTACTCAACAGAAGATATTTTCTTCCCTCACAGCTGGATTTGCTTGGATTATGACAAGAGGATGCTTAAGCACACACACTGGAGAAAACTGGTCCCCACATACGTTTTCCTTGTTCAGAGGAGTCAGAGCAATTAACCATTTCCTGTAACATGAGGTCTATCCTTTTCACAGGCTCTAGTCCTGATCAGCAGCAGGCGAAGTAGGCATTCGGTGACACTGCTTGGTGTTCCCATCTGCAGCGGGAGCTGCAGAGGACATGTCAGCGTGGAGCTGCTGGAGGGCTACTGCCTAACGAGCATTGGGGAAAATCGGCTTTCCTTGGCTCGGTTCTCCTTGGAGTGGACATTGCTCAGAGATCCATAGAATCAGGAATACACTCATCCATCCACTACTCAGAATAGTTTAAAAATCTTTGGTAAGTACTCAGTTCTTTCATTGCTGAACATGATTCATGATTAAACAGCAATCTGCATTCCTCTTCTGCATTAAAAATGTAGAGCCCACCTCATTCGATGCTGGTGGGAATGTGAAATGGTGTAGCCACTTTGGAAAACAGTCTGACAGTTCACAAAAAAGTTAAACGTACAACTACCATACGGTCCAAAAAGCCCGTTCTTAGGTTTATAACCAAGAGTTGAAAACATGTGTTCACACAAAAATATATGTACCACTGTGCGCAGCAGCACTATTCACAATTGCCAAAAGGTGGAAACAACCTACACGCCCACCAGCAGATAACAGAACAACAACAACAAATATGGTCCACCCATGGATGAGAATGGTGCTGAGGCATGAAAAGAACGGAGCGCTGGTTCATGCTCCAACTTGGATGAACTTCAGAAACATGATGTTACAGGCTGGCACTGTGGCTCACTGGGCTAGTCCTCCACCTGTGGCGCCGGCACACCGGGTTCTAGTCCCGGTTGGGGCGCTGGATTCTGTCCCAGTTGCCCCTCTTCCAGGCCAGCTCTCTGCTGTGGCCTGGGAAGGCAGTGGAGGATGGCCCAAGTGCTTGGGCCCTGCACCTGCATAGGAGACCAGGAGGAAGCACCTGACTCCTGGCTTCGGATCGGCACAGTGTGCCAGCTATAGTGGCCATTTGGGGGGTGAACCAACGGAAGGAAGACCTTTCTCTCTCTGTCTTTCTCTCTCTCTCTGTGTCTAACTCTGCCTGTCAAAAAAAAAAAAAAAAAAAAAAAAAAAAAAAAAAAAAAAAGGCAGCATGATGTTACAGGAAAGGAGCTGGACACCAGAGAGCTTGATTCCATTTACATGAGATGTTCCGAACAGCCAATCCACAGAGATAGAATACAGAATAGTGCCTGCAGGGGCTGGGTGTGGTGTGGTGAGGAGAGAGGGGGGCTGGGGTTTCTTTTGGGGGTGATGAGAATGTTCTGGAATTAGTAGTGATGGTTGCAGGCTTTCTTTCCCTGGTTGGCAGGTTGGACTAATGGGAGACTCGAGGGGGCTTGGAAGGTGGGAGAATGGGTGAAGCTCTGGCACCTGCCCTCTCTGTGTCAGACAACAGCCTCCAGCAGCGTTTGTATCTTACCCGGAAGCCCCAGCTCCTATTGGTGGCTCTGGCAACCAACCACCTCTTTTCTTTGTCCATTCCATCCTAGGAGTGGCGTCAAATTCTTGTGATGGCTGATCCCTAGCCCCTGCTTGGCTTCCTAGATCTTTTGTAACCCGTGAAGTAAATTCTCTGCCCTAATTTTCCTATTTGAAACATCCTGAGTGCCTTCTATTTCCTCTGGATGCTGCTGGATAAACTCTTCTAAGGGCCATTGGCATTCCTTTTGGTAGTGTGCAAAACTGCCAGTTTCCTTGAAACTTTATGAATGTTGTATGTTATCATTGTTGGAGATATCATGTCCCCTACCCCATCTCATGTGTTGGAGTCCTTTCTCTTGTACCTCACAACATGGTTCGTATTTCAAAATAGGGTTTTTGCAGATATATATAGTTAAAAAATAGGTTTATATTGATATAGGTGGGTGCCTCACTCAACATGACTGATGTGCAGTCCTGGCTACTCGGTTTCTTTCTTTCTTTTTAATATTTATTTATGTATTTCAAAGTCAGAGTTACACAGAGGAGAGGGAGAGAGAGAGAGAGGTTTTCCATCCAATGGTTCACTCTCCAATTGGCCACAACAGCTGGAGCTGCACCAATCTGAAGCCAGGAGCTTCTTCCAGGTCTCCCACGTGGGTGCAGGGCCCAAGGCCTTGGGCCATCTTCTACTGCTTTCCCAGGCCATAGCAGAGAGCTGGATTGGAAGTGGAACAGTTGGATCTTGAACCAGCGCCCATATGGGATGCCGGCACTTCAGGTCAGGACGTTAACCTGCTGCGCCACAGCGCCAGCCCCAGTTATTCGGTTTCTGAACCAGCTTCCTGCTAATGCGCTCTCTGGGAGGTAGCAGGTAACAGCTATTCTAGTTTTTGGGCCCCTGCCTCCCAAATAGAAGACCTAGATTGAGTTCCCAGCTCCTGGCCTTGGCCTGGTCCAGCCTTGGCTGTTGCAGGAATTTGGGGAGGGAACAAGTGAACAAATTCGGGAGATTTCTTTTTCTGTGTCTCTCCATCTCTCTCCCTTTAAATAAAATGAAAGTGAATAAATACAAATTTTACAAAGGAATGAAGTACTGATATTTGCTTTAACTTGGATAAAGCTCAGAAACAACATACTACATAAAAGAAGGCACCACAAGGGGCCACATACAAGTCTGTATATGTGAAATATTCCATGTAGGGCAAATCCCTGAAGACAAAGAACTGCTTAGTGGTTGCCGGGGGACGGGAAGGGGAGAACAGGGAGTGACTGCCAGTGTGTATGGGTTAGTGTATACAGATTTTCTTTTTGGGGTGATGAAAATGTCTGGTGCTAGATAATAGTGAACACTGCTCTGAATGTTCCTTTTTTTTTATTCAGGGGAGAGCATGAACACAGTCTTCCACTACCACAAATTATGCAGTCGAGTTTCCCACATTTGGGGAAATTGCAGGGGTCAGCACATCCGGAATGCAATGGATGAGCCTCGCTCTGGGAAAACCACCTTCATGATCATGGTATCTCCCCTGCCAGGTAAGTCTGTGAATGTTCTTTTTAAGATTTATTTATTTTATTTGAAAGGTAGAGCTATAGAGAGAGGAAGACACACACACACACACACACACACTCACACACACACAGATCTTCTATCCACTGGTTTAATCTTCAAATGGCTGCAAAGGCTGGGGCTGGGCCAGGCTGAAGCCATGAGCCAGGAGCTTCATCTGGGTCTCCCACATGGGTACAGGGGCCCAAGGACTTGGGCCATCTTCTGCTGTTTTCCCAGGTGCATTAGCAGGGAGCTGGATTGGAAGTGGAGTAGCCAGGACTGAACCAGAACCCCTATGGGATGCTGGCATTGCAGGCAGCAGCTTAACCCCCTATGCCACAATGCAGAGCCCTCTGTGAATGTTCTAAATGGCACTGAGTTGTACATTTTAGACAGTTAAAATGGTCAATTTTGTTATGTGCATGTTACAACAATAAAAATTCTTTAATAAAAATGAAAAGTAACAAGTCACAGAATGTTAGCTCTGCAGAGGTGGGTGTTTGGTACAGTGGTTAAGATACCACTTGGAAACCCACATCCAAACCAGAGAGCCTGGGTTCCAAGTCCTGGCTATTCTGTTTCTGCGCCAGCTTCCTGCTAATGTGCACCCTTGGAGGCAGCAATTAATGGCTCAAGTACTTGGATCCCTGCCATCCATGTGGGAGACCTGGGTTGAGATAACAAAAACTAAGCACTAAGCATAGTGTGTGTTGCCAAAGTTGAATTGGTTTTCCTTTCAAGGGATGTAAAAACAAGAACTGACAAATCATTAATAACAACACTTTATGGGGCCAGCACTGTGGCTTAGTGGGTAAAGCTGCTGCCTGCAGTGCCAGCATCCATGTGGGTGCCAGTTTGAGTCCCGGCTGCTCCTCTTCCGATCCAGCTCTCTGCTGTGGCCTGGGAAAGCAGTAGAAGATGGCCCAAGTCCTTGGGCCCTGCACTGATGTGGGAGACCCGGAAGAAGCTCCTGGCTCCTGGCTTTAGTTCAGCCCAGCTCATGATGTTGCAACCATTTGGGGAGTGAACCAGTGGTAGAAGACCTCTCTCTCTCTGCCTCTACCTCTCGGTAACTCTGCCTTTCAAATAAATAATAAATAAATCTTAAACACACACACACACACACACACACACACTTTAGAGAATCAAGTGTCTTGGGAGATGTAGAGATGAAAGGAAGGGGAACTGTGAAAAACCAAACTAAAAACAAACAAACAAAAACAGAAAAAAAAAAAAAACCCAGAGACACCATGCTGAAAATATTGGCTGAGAATTGATTTTAGAGGACTTTGAATGACAGACTGTTAGGAAAAGAGTTGCAGATTGGTGCCTCCTTACACAGGGCACCAAAATGTTAGGAAAAGAGTCATAGAATAGAGAGGAGGCAGTGCACGAATTTACAAATTTACAGCCAGACCAAATTTATTCAGAGAAAATAAATCTGCAGAGGTGGGTGACCAACTGCCTGTGTGTACATGATGGAGCATGTGGCACAAGGCGACTCCCAGGGGCCGGGCCTTTTTAAGGAGGGCTAGGGGGTGGGAGGGAAGTCATTGTGGGGGGGGAGCCAATGTAATCCATAAGCTGTACTTTGGAAATCTATATTCATTAAATAAAAGTTAAAAAAAAAAAAGGAGGGCTAGGACTGGGGATGGGGGTAGGTGGCAATGGGGGAAGGGGGAAGGGGAATTCCAGGAACTGGCGGCGGGGCCAGGGGGGAGCAGGGGGGACTCGGGAACCTGGAAAAGAAGGCAGGGTGGGGTATGAAGGCAATAGGGTGTGAGACCCAATTTAAGTTTCAAGGGCAAGGAATACACAGACCTTGTGATTTATTCTGCAAGAAACTGAGTCACCACAAGGAGCTTATACTTTTTGTCCTCAGTTTCACATTAGCATACACGGCCAGTTGGAACCTGACCTGGCTAGCATGTACATTTGTGAAATGCCAAAGGAAAAAAAAATGTTGATTCTTGTCTTAAAGAGTTAGATGAAGCTTCCAAGATTTTAAGTTTAAATATTTATAAACTGACTATATAATTTAAAGGTGCAAGTTTAATCGCATGGCATGGTTTTTAAGCACAATAATTCTACGATTTTTTTTTCAAATTAAGTGAATAAACGTGCATTCCTTTAGACCCTTTGACTCTGGACTCCAAGCCTGGCTTCTTCCGTTCACCCGGTCAGGGCCACATCGCTCGGGAACCTGCTCTCCTTTGGCCAGAGTTTCCGTAGGGAACCGGTTTTCTAATACACCGTCTTTGCCCCACCCATCATCGCATTCTTGGGCACTACCATTGGCTGTGGCCATCCCATGTGCTCCAAAGGGGTTCTCTGATTGGCCAACGGCATGCTGGGTAGCGCGAGGGTGCCAGTTTCCTGGGCTACATGGTGGTGGACGGAGTCTTAGGGCCGCTTGCAAGATGTTCTGAGTCGGGGGCTGGACGCTGCGCGTGGCGGTTTCCCGAGACGTAGTCTCGGGACCGCCATGGCCAGCGTCCACGAAAGCCTCTACTTCAATCCAATGATGACCAACGGGGTGGTGCACGCGAACGTGTTCGGCATCAAGGACTGGGTGACGCCATATAAGATCGCCGTGCTGGTGCTGTTGAACGAGATGGGGCGCACGGGCGAGGGCGCCGTGAGCCTCATGGAGCGGCGGAGGCTCAACCAGCTGCTCCTGCCGCTGCTGCAGGTGAGGGGCGACCTCCTGCTCGGTTAGCAAACTCGTGCTGGTCAGCGCCCCGGGTCTGGGGACGCGGGGTGCATCCCAAGCTCTTCCCGCCTTGGAGGAGAGTGAGGAAAATAAGCAGTCAATACCGCCAGCTAACGCTTGCCGGGCGCTTCCGATGGGCTGGGCGCTTTACGTGCATTTTTCTTTTTCGCAGGTTCGTGTCTGGCTCCGGTATTTATTAGTTGAGTGACTGGGCTAGCGTTGGAGACGCAGAGTTGGATCATGCGCGCTCCTAGGCTGGAGAGGCTTAATCAGTAGTGATAACGATGCGAAACTAACCTCGAGCCTTGGTGTGTGCTAAGCGCCTTTTTTTTTTTTTTTTTTTTTTTTTTACTGCATTTTGCGTCTCAGGTCACAGCTCCATTACTTACCAAATGCCAGTTGCGCAAATTCCTTAATCTTAAATTGAGGTCTCAACTTTCTATGTAAAATGAGACCAGTGACTTTGTGTCGTCAGCACGTGGTCAATAATTAGTGTTAACGAGTTCGTTGATTTCAGTGTATTCTAGTTGGGTCTGTATGAACCGTCACCTGTGTCAGATGTGGTTTTCGTTTCTTTGTGTGTTGATGTGATTGACAGCTTCTCCTCCATGAGACTGTCACTCGCATGAGGAGAGATGTCTTGCCCTGTGTTCGTGCACCTTGCGTCTGCAAAACCCAGGCCAGCACCTGGGTAGGAATGAGATGCGGTCTGGCCTGGTGGAGGTGGGTGCGTGTTCTCAGGTGAATGGGGAGCAACAGTGTGAAGTTGGATCTTGAAGGCTGGGCGGTTATCTGTTGAGGAACTCTGGTGGCAGAAACCGAGATCCCCAAACTGTGGGATCTTAACAGGTCAAACAGTTAGTACCAGTGGGAGCGTGGCTTCCACTCGGTCTAGTGTGTAGTGGGTTTTTCAGTTCATCGCCTGTATTTGGGGGAGGGGAAAGAGGGAGCAGGAGGAGTTAAAGGTAAGCGGGGAAGTGACTTACCCAGTTCAGTACAAGGAGGGTGGCTCTGTAGCTTGCAGCTCCCACAGCCCCAGTGTGCCCTATCCACATTACTGCTACTGTAAATGCATTTCCCCGTTTTTCTTTTTTTTTTTTCTTTTTTTTTTTTTAGTATTCATTCTTTTTTTTTTTAATTTTTTTTTATTTTTTTTTTATCTTTTATTTAATGAATATAAATTTCCAAAGTACGTCTCATGGGTTACAATGGCTTTCCCCCCCATACCGTCCCTCCCACCCACCACCCTCCCCTTTCCCACTCCCTCTCCCCTTCCATTCACATCAAGATTCATTTTCGATTATCTTAGTATACAGAAGATCAGCTTAGTATACCTTAAGTAAGGATTTCAACAGTTTGTTCCCACACAGAAACATAAAGTGAAAAATAATAGATGATTTTTTTTTAAATGATGATGAAATCAGATCAGACCTATTGTCATGTTTAATCCCAGTGAGAGTCAAGTTGGGAATTGATAGTTTCTTTTTTTTTTTTTTTTAACAGAAGATCAGTTTAGTGTACATTAAGTAAAGATTTCAACAGTTTGCACCCCCATAGAAACACAAAGTGAAATATACTGTTTGAGTACTCGTTATAGCATTAAGCCTCAGTGTACAGCACATTAAGGACAGAGATCCTACATGAGGAGTAAGTGCACAGTGACTCCTGTTGTTGACTTTACAAATTGACACTCCTGTTTATGGTATCAGTAATCTCCCTATGCACCAGTCATGAGTTTCCAAGGCTATGGAAGCCCCTTGAGTTCTCCGACTCTTATCTTGTTTAGACAAGGTCATAGTCAAAGTGGAGGTTCTCTCCTCCCTTCAGAGAAAGGCACCTCCCTCTTTGAAGACCTGTTCTTTCCACTGGGATCTCACTCACAGAGATCTTTTTGCCAGAGTGTCTTGGCTTTCCATGCCTGAAATACTCTCATGGGCTTTTCAGCCAGATCCGAGTGCCTTTAGGGCTGATTCTGAGGCCAGAGTGCTATTTAGGACATCTGCCATTCTATGAGTCTGCTGAGTATCTCACTTCCCATGTTGGATCACTCTCCCCTTTATTTATTCTATCGGTTAGTGTTAGCAGATACTAGACTTGTTTATGTGCTCCCTTTGACTCTTAGTCCTTTCATTATGATCAATTGTGAACTGAAATTGATCACTTGGAATAGTGAGATGGCATTGGCACATGCCACCTTGATGGGATTGAATTGGAATCCCCTAGTATGTTTCCAACTCTACCAATTGGGGCAAGTCAGCCCGAGCATGCCCCAAATTATACATCTCTTCCCTCTCTTATTCCCATTTTTATGTTTAACAGGGATCACATTTCAGTTAATTTTCAACACTTAAGAATAACTGTGTGATAATTACAGAATTAAACCAGTCATATTAAGTAGAACAGACAAAAAAAAAATACTATGAGGGATAATGTATTAAGTTGTCCATTAGCAGTCAGGGCTATGCTGATCAAGTCACCATTTCTCATAGTGTCCATTTCACTTCAGGAGGTTTCCTTTTTGGTGTTCAGTCAGTTGTCACCGATCAGGGAGAACATATCATTTCCCCGTTTTTCAAGTGAAAGGCATAATACTAAAAGTTTGGTAAATCGAAACAAGAAATAGTATTCCTGGTGTCTTTTTTTTTTTTTTTTTAAAGATTTATTTATTTGAAAGGCAGAGAGAGAGAGAGAAAGGTTGTCTTTATCCTCTGGTTCACTCCCCAAAAGGTCCCAACAGCTGGAGCTGAGTGGATCCGAAGCCAGGAGCCTGGAGCTTCTTTTAGGTTTCCCACGTGGGTGCAGGGGCCCAAGGACTTGGGCCGTCCTCCACTGCTTTCCCAGGTGCATTAGCAGGGCGCTGGATCAGAAGTGGACCAGCTGGGACGAACTGGTGCCCATATGGGATGCCGGTGCTGCAGGTAGATGCTTAACCTACTATGCCGCAGTGCTGGCCCCTCATTTTTTTTTAAAGATTTATTTATTTGAAAGAGCAACAGAGAGAGAGAGAGAGAGAGAGAGAGAGAAGGATAGAGATCTTTCATCTGTGGGTTCACCCCCCAAATGACTGCAGTATCCAAGTCTGGGACAGGCCGAAGCCAGGCAGCCAGCAACTCCATCCTGGCCTCCCAACATGGGTGGGAGAGGCCCAACCAATTGGGACATCTTTCCTTGCTTTCCCAGGCCCATTAGTAGGAAGCTGGATTGGAAACAGCAGATGGGACTTGAGGTGGCCCCCTAATATTGGATGCTGACATTGCAAGCAGTGGCTTTACTTGCTGTACCACAGTGCCAACCCCAATCCTGATGTCTTTATTTATTTGAGAGGTAGAGTTGTAGACAGAGCGGGAGAGACAGAACTTATGTCTGCTGGTTCACTCCTCAAATGGCTGCAGAAGCTGGAGCTGAGTGGAACTGAAGCCAGGAGCTTCTTCCAGGTCTCCCAGGCAGGTGCAAGGGCCTAAGCACTTGGGCCGTCCTCCACTGCTTTCTAGGTGCATTAACAGGGAGCTGAATTGGAAGTGGAGCAGCCAGAACTCAAACCAGTGCCCGTATGGGATGCCAGAGCTGCAGGCTGGGGCTTTAACCCATTGCACCACAGCGCTGACTTCAAAATTAGTAAATTTTCAACCATTCAGAAACAGTTTCCTTGTAAAAATTTGAAATTATGCAAAAATTGATGAGGTGAAAGGTTATTGTTATGCATGCTCTCCAATCCTGTTCCCTCTCAGAGATGATCATTATCAATATTAATTCATTGAACTATTGAGTACCAATGTTGGAATGATCTTTCTAGGTGCATATGGTTATTTCTCTGTGTATATGTATTCTTTATGTAAATGCTATTGCTACTCTACAGCTTACTCCTCTCACTTAACAAGTCTTTTTTTTAATCCCCAGATTCAAAGTATTTTTGCCTTTTCTGCAATTGTTTCCTTAAGAAATCTGAACCTCCAGGCTTTTGTCCTAGATGAGGATACCTTGCCTTTTTTTTTTTTTTTTTTTTAAGATTTATTTATTTATTTGAAAGAGTTACACAGAGGTCTTCCATCTGCTGGTTCACACCCCAGTTGTCTGCAACGGCCAGAACTGTGCTGATCTGAGCTCAGGAGCCAGGAGCCCCTTCCAGGTCTCCCACACAGGTGCAGGGGCCCAAGGACTTGGGCCATCTTCTGTTGCTTTCCCAGGCCGTAGCAGAGAGCTGGATCGGAAGCGCCAACAGCTGGGTCTCGAACCAGTGCCCATCTGGCACTGCAGGCAGCGGCCTTACCTGCTTACACTGACGCTATAGGGCTGGCTCCACTTTTTTTTTTTTTTTTTTTTTTTTTTTTTTATTTATTTTATTTTATTTTATTTGAAAGAGTTACAGAGAGAGAGGTAGAGCTGGGGGGTGGGGAGGGAGGGAGAGGGAGAGGGAGAGAGAGAGAGAGAGGTGTCTTCCATTCCACTGGTTCACTCTCCAAATGACCACAACAGCTAGAGCTGAGCTGATCAGGAGCCAGGAGCTTCCTCCAGGTCTCCAACATGGGTGTAGGGACCAAGGACTTGGGTCATCCTCCACTGCTTTCCCAGGCCACAGCAGAGAGCTGGATCAGAAGAGGAGCAGCCGGGACTTGAACCGGCGCCCATATGGGATGCTGGCACTGCAGGCTAGGGCTTTAACCTGACTCCAACAAGTCTTGAGATCATTTCATGCCAACATATTTGAATATTTTTTTAACATCTGCATTGTATTCCACAAGAAAAGCAACATAATTTAATTCTTTATTATAAATTACAAGTTATGCCATTATTGGACTTAACAGGTTCTTTTCAGTTTCTCTTCATTTCAAACAAGGAATGCCAAATATAACTTCCCCAAAAGTGGAATTGCTGGGTTATCTGCATCTAGAGTTGGCATACATGCTGTAACTGGCTTTCCAAAGCAGACTCAGCGGGTGGTTTAAATTGAGTTGGTCTGATTTGTTGGAGAGACAGATAGGTGAGACAGAGTTCCCATCTGCCCCCCAGATGCTCCAGGTCTCCCACGTGGATGGCAAGAACCCAATTGCTGTGGGAGTCTTAACCGTTAGGCCAGATGACCTCCCCGTCAGTGTTCAGTTCTAAACCTCAGTGACATTGAAATCTTCCTGATGGCTGAAGTAGTAGACTGTCCCCTAATGATACTTTTTGTAAGCTGCAGTAAATCATATGCCTGCCTACCTTCCAAGGTTTGGGGAAAGATCAACTGAAATTGTATTTGTGAAAAAGAGACACTTGTGTGTGTATAATATTCTCCGGTTTACAGAGCACTTTATATTGTCTTAATCCTTGCCACAGACAAGGGTGGTGTTTATCATTCTCTCTTGATAATACTCTTACTGGTAAAGGAGACCAGGGCTCAGAGAGGTTGAACTTTTGCCATAGTTACAAAACTAAGAAGGAAGGAATGGTGTGCCCTTGGACTGTGAAATGATCCTGTATTATTATAATTTCTGAAAGATTTATTGGGGCCGGTGCTGTGTTGTAGTGGGTAAAGCCGCCACCTGCAGAGCCAGCATCCCATATGGGTGCCGGTTTGAGTCCTGGCTGCTCCACTTCCGATCCAGCTCTCTGTTATGGCCTGGGAAAGCAGTAGATGATGGCCCAAGGCCTTGGGCCCCTGCACCCACATGTGAGACATGGAAGAAGCTCCTGGCTCCTGCAGCTCTGGCCATTGTGGCCAACGGGGGAGTGAGCCAGCAAATGGAAGACCTGTCTCTCTCTTTCTCTCTCTCCCTGTGTAACTCTGATTTTCAAATAATTTCAAATAAATTTCAAATTTTAAAGATTTATTTATTTATTTGAAAGTCAGAGTTACAGAGAGGCAGAGAGAGGGAGAGAGGTCATCCATCTGCTGGTTTACTCCCCACATGGCCACAACAGCTGGAGCTGGGCAGATCTGAAGCCAGGAGCCAGGAGCTTCTTCCAGGTCTCCCACTGGGGTGCAGGGGCCCAAGCACTTGGGCTGTCTTCCACTGCTTTCCCAGGCCACTAGTAGAGAGCTGACTGCAAGTGGAGCAGCCGGGACACGAACTGGTGCCCATATGGGACTCCAGCACTGCAGGTGTGGTTTTACCCAATTTGCCACAGAGCCAGCACCAACAATCCTGTATTTTGTTTCTACTTCAGATCATTCTACTTACTAAATGAAAGTGTTATGTAAATGTAAAGTGTTACTTCAGCTTTGTAGTTAGCTAGAAAAATGCTGAGTTGAGGTTTCATGTTTAGGCTGATTATTAAAGCAGAGAGTTGATAAATGTATTTATGTTGACGGTTCATTATCAGTCTCCAACTCTGAAATTTATAAGTTTTCTGTTTGTCCTTTACTCAGGGCCCAGATATCACGCTGTCAAAACTGTACAAGTTGATTGAAGACTCTTGTCCTCAGCTGGCAAATTCAGTACAGATCAGGTAAACGTCATTTTCTGGGCCTGTGAGAAGGTATCAAGGTAGATCAAGGTTGGTTTTTTTTTTTTTTTTGACAGGCAGAGTTAGACAATGAGAGAGAGACAGAGAGAAAGGTCTTCCTTCCGTTGGTTCACCCCCCAGAATGCTTGGTATGGCTGGCGTGCTGTGCTGATCCGAAACCAGGAGAGCCAGGTGGTTCCTCCTGGTCTCTCATTCGGGTCCAGGGCCCAAGTACTTGGGCCATCCTCCACTGCCCGGAAGGGCCACAGCAGAGAGCTGGACTGGAAGAGGAGCAACCAGGACAGAACCCGGCGACCTGACTGGGACTAGAACCTGGTGTGCTGGCGCCGCAGGCGGAGGATTAGCCTAGTAAGCCGCAACGCCGGCCAAGGTAGATAAAGTTTACGGAACAGTGTGGGTATGTTTAAAAGATATGTTTATTATCCTAGGTTTTTTTTTCCCCAAAGTACTGTTAACTTAAAATTTTTTGAAGTGTGATTAATGTTAAGTATACTGTTTCACAGTTTTCCCCCAAAATTTATTGCTCTATATAGATCTTTTTTAGTTGGTACCAAAAAATTCGTTTTTTTAGTGGCTGATCTGAAACTTTGACAAATTTTATGATCAAGAACACAGCGATGGCCCTTTTCAGAAATAAGAGTTACTAAGTTTGTTTTATGTTACACTATAAATTCCTTTAACATAGATTTTAGATAATCGAGGAATGTGAAACATATGTGGGAAGATTTCCAAAGGTCCTTCCTAAACTGTACACCTGAATTTTCTCATTCAGAATCAAACTGATGGCTGAAGGCGAATTGAAGGATATGGAGCAATTTTTTGATGACCTTTCAGATTCTTTTTCTGGAACTGAGCCAGAGGTTCACAAAACAAGTGTAGTAGGTATGGAACTCTTCTACGAAGAGCAGAGTGTTTTCCTTAAAGCAAGCAGCTTTCTAAATCACATCTGTCATCACTCTGCTCTGTCGTGAACAAAGTGGGAGTCCTGGATGTGTGGTTTGTATTGATTGCCTTGCCGTTTTGATCCGTATTTACATGGTGGACTTGTAGAAAAGCACCCTCTGTTTTGTCTACAATAGTCAGAGGCAGAGCCTGGTCCCCGGGTTTTGGGTCTCCCAGGTCTTTCACAGTGCTCTGGATCACTTGCCTGCATTGTGCAGCTGTAAGGGAGGGCCCCAACCAAACTTAAGGAAGCGAGGTAAGTAAAAATATGCTATTGCTTAAGTGTCTAAAGTGAGGGCACCTGTGATGCTTGTTTGGTGTTTTTCTGCTAACTTTGTATCCCTGCTCCGTCTGTCTGGCTCTTTTGCATGGTGGTTTTTATGTTGTTCAGTTAGTTGTTTGTGGATCTCCTGGTGCCAGGCTCTGCACTTACAAGATAGACATTTCCTCTAGCCGAGGGCTCAGCGGGTAAAAAGGAAACAAACATGGGAGGTAGTTCTGGAGTCCAACGGCCATGGAGAAAATACAGCGGAGGTCCTGAGAGAGAGAGATGGTGGGTGGAGCACCGAGGCCTGAATCAGAAGGATCCAGATTGGTGAAGGCTGGTGGAGGAACATTCTAGGCGGGGGAATTCGCTGTGTAGCCTGAACGTCAGCTAATGCTTTCACCTGTCTCTGGTCTTCTTTTGTAGGTTTGTTTCTGCGTCACATGATCCTGGCCTACAGTAAGCTTTCTTTCAGCCAAGTGTTTAAACTGTACACTGCCCTTCAACAGTATTTCCAAAGTGGTGAGAAAAAAACCGTGGAGGATGCTGATATGGAACTGACCGGTAGAGAAGACGGAGAAAGAAAAATGGAAAAAGAAGACCTGGACGTCTCTGTGAGGTAACGTGGGTTTTTCTGACGGGAATTCCTCTGCGCAGCCATCCCCTTTGCCCTCAGATCCAGGAGGGCAACACCTCGTGGGGCTGCATCAGTGCGCTCCTTCTGAGTTAGGATTGGCCACTGGGAGGTGGGAAATCCAGACGGCCAAGGAGCTTGGCGTCAGGGTGTGGATTTTTTTTTAATGTTTGTTTTATTTTTAGGCAGAGTGACACATGCACACACACATGCACACACACACATACACATATACACACACAGAGATCTGTCACTGGTTCACTCCTCATATACCCACAATAGCCAGACCTGGGCCAGACTGAAAACAGGAGCCCGGTCTCACATTTAGGTCTTTGATCTATTTTGAGTTAGTTTTTGTATATGGGATTAGATAAGGGTTCAAGTTCATTCTTGTGCATGTATATATTCTACTTTTCCCAGCACCATTTGTTAAAAAGACTGTTCTTTCCCCATTGAATAAATGGTTTTGGTACCTTTGTCCAAAATTATTTGACCATATTATTTATATGTAGTGATTGAATTCTGGACTCTCTTGGTACATTGCTCTTGACACATTTTTTTTTTTCTTTTAATTTATTTATACACTTTAAATTCGAATAGGCATAAACCAAAAAAGAAAATATCAGGACAAAGTGTCACTGTCATTTTGTTTGCAGGGAGGGGTCAGCAAATGGGACAGATTACCAGGAAAACATTTTAAGATTATCCCAAAGTAGCTAGGTTGCATAATGTTAAGATTCAAATGCAAAAATTAAAGTATTATTTTAATATACAAATGAAGAAAAAGAGGACTCAAAAGTTTATCCTGGGTATTGTAAGAAATGTATAGCTCTTTTATTTTCAGAAAGCAACACTAGCAACTTGTAGACGAAAGATGTTTCCATTATTGAAATCATGTTTTAAGTATATCTGTCTATTTGTAGGAAGAGAGAATTAATTCATTTTGAACTCTCTGGCAAGAAAATTAGTATGATTTTGTAAATGTTGCTGTTTTCACTCTTACGTAATTCTTCACTATTTTTGTTTTTAATTTTTTCCAGAGAAGAGGAAGTATCTTGCAGTGGGCCTCTATCCCAAAAGCAAGCAGAGTTTTTTCTTTCTCAGCAGGTATGTTAATTCTGTGATTTGTCTGGACTGTTTTATCCTGTGACACTCTGTGTCATAGCACAGGCCTGTTACCTCAGTTGGCTGTCTGTGAATCTGCTTTGTCTGTTGCTCTTGGCCCTCTCTTCTTCACTAACAATGTGGTTGTAGCTGTGTCCCTTCCTATTTTGTGCATGATTTTCTTTTTCTTTCTTTCTTTTTTTTTTTTTTTTTTTTTCTTTTTTTTTGACAGGCACGGTGGACAGTGAGAGAGAGAGACAGAGAGAAAGGTCTTCCTTCCATTGGTTCACCCCACAGTGGCTGCTGCGGCCGGCGCACCGCGCTGATCCGAAGCCAGGAGCCAGGTGCTTCTCCTGGTTTCCCATGTGGGTGCAGGGCCCAAGCACTTGGGCCATCCTCCACTGCACTCCCTGGCCACAGCAGAGAGCTGGCCTGGAAGAGGGGCAACCGGGACAGAATCCAGCACCCCGACCGGGACTAGAACCCAGGGTGCTGGTACCACAGGTGGAGGATTAGCCTAGTGAGCCATGGCGCCAGCCGATTTTATTTTTCTATTAAAGTTACTAGTGAGCTTCTTTTAGTTATAGTATGTGACTATCACAACTTACAAATATGATTAGGAGCCTTGCTTCTTCCTTTCTCCCTGTATTTACCATGGGCCCTTTCAAACATAAAGGAAGGTTGAAGGGGTGGGTGTTTGGGGTAGTGGTTAAGTCTCCACCTGGGGTGCCCACATCCCACGTCAGAATGCATGGTTTGAGTCTGGGTGGGCTTCTGATCCAGCTTCCTGTAATGCACACAAAGAGGGCAGCAGGTGATGCTACAAGTACTTGGGTCCCTGCCATCCACGGTGCAGACTTGGAGTTCCTGGCTCCTGGCTATTGTGGACATTTGAAAAGTGAACCAGTGGATCGGACAACAGTTTACTTTGCTTCAGACAGATCTTGTTGCTGCTTGGCCCATATTTTTTCATTTTCTTGACTATATAAAGTGAACATTTTTCTCCTATGTTATTTTCAGCATACAATCTTATTTTTTGTTCTTCTTTTCCAATATTCCTTAATATTCTTGCAAATTTCCTTTTTTGTGTAAAGATGTAATGTTTAAATAAAAGTGATGGAATCACCTCTGCAGGTGAATTTCAGGCAGATTACAAAAACCCATCTATACAGTTGGTTACCTATAGAGGAAAAAGTACAGCTGGGTTCACATGTCACCCTCACACCTCAGCGCATTACAGACAGATGAAAGGGTTACAAGTAAATATTTAAAGCTCTAATTAGACTAAAGGAACTACATATTAACTTTTACATGATCTGTGGGTGGGGAATGACTTTCTAAACATAAAAGCTGTGGAACAAGACACATGGATCATTTGATTTTCAGTGTAAAATCAAAATGTATGTCACATGTCAGAACAAGTTCTAACAAAATTAAAAGGCAGACAACGAAATGGGAAAAAGTAATTGCAATAAATATGACAGTGAGGGCCGGCGCCGCGGCTCACTAGGCTAATCCTCCGCCTAGCGGCGCCGGCACACCGGGTTCTAGTCCCGGTTGGGGCGCCGGATTCTGTCCCGGCTGCCCCTCTTCCAGGCCAGCTCTCTGCTGTGGCCCGGGAGTGCAGTGGAGGATGGCCCAGGTGCTTGGGCCCTGCACCCCATGGGAGACCAGGAAAAGCACCTGGCTCCTGGCTCCTGCCATCGGATCAGCGCGGTGCGCCGGCTGCAGCGCGCCAGCCGCGGCGGCCATTGGAGGGTGAACCAACGGCAAAAGGAAGACCTTTCTCTCTGTCTCTCTCTCTCACTGTCCACTCTGCCTGTCAAAAAAAAAATAAATAAATAAATAAATAAATAAATATGACAGTGAAAGGATTAATACTTTTGCTTTAGAAATCATTTTCAAAGACTAGCGATGAGACAAATTTTATCATTTTTATTTATTTGAAAAAGAGAGTTACAGAGGGGGTTAGATACAGAGAGAGGTCTTCCATCCACTGGTTTGCCCCCCAAATGGCATGACGGCTGGAGCGGAGCCAATCCAGCGCCAGCAGCCAAGAGCTTCTTCCGGGTCTCCTACTCGGGTGCAGGGGCTCTAGCACTTGGGCCATTTTCTACTGCTTTCCCACGTCATCAGCAGGGAGCTGGATCAGAAGTGGAACAGCTGGGTCTTGAACCAGTGCCCATATGGGATGCTGGCGTTGCAAGCCAGGGCTTTAACCCACTGAGCCACAGCAGTAGCCCCTATAATATATTATTAAAAGAATAAGAAGTGGAATTATACTTTTTTTTTTTTTTTAAGTTTTATTATTTGGACATCAGAGTTACACAGAGAGAGGAAGAGACAGAGAGAGACAGATCTTCCATCCGCTGGTTCACTCCCCAAATGGCCGCAAAGGCCAGGCTGGGCCAGGCTGAAGCCAGGAGTCAGGAGCTTCTCCCAGGGACCCAAACACTCAGGCCGTCTTCTGCTGCTTTCCCAGGCACATGAGCAGAGAGGTGGGTCAGAAGTGGAGCAGCTGGGACTCGAACTGGCACCCATATCTGGTGCTGGAGTCACAGGTGGTAGCTTTACTAACTATGCCACAGCTCTGGGCCTGAAATTATATATTCTGATTTTGTTCAAGTATGTGTATATTCACACACACCCACACATACACGTGTACACAATTACACACATACAAAAAAAGACTATAATAAGATACATTAAAGTACGAATAGTATTATTTCTGGGTATAGGATTACAGAAAATTTTTCTTCTGTGTCTTTTGCTTATCCTAGAATTATCTATATTGATATAATGAATTAAAAATGAAATGAGAAGTTTTTGCTACTGGGGCTGACACTGATGTGGATAAAGCTGCTGCCTGTAATGCCGGCATCCCACGTGGGCACTGGTTTGATTCCTGACTGCTCCACTTCCAATCCAGCTCCCTGCTAGTGTGCTTGGGAAAGCAGCAGAAGATGGCCCAGGTCTTTGGGCCTCTGTACCCTGTGGCTCCTGGCTTTCGATCTGCCCAGCTCTGGCTTTTGTGGTCATTTAGGGAGTGAGCCAGCAGGTGAAAGATCTCTCTTTCTCTCTGTGTTTCTGTAACTCTGCCTTTCAAGTAAATAGATTAAAATTTTTTTACTAGTTTTAGAAAAATTAGACCATAAAATTGCAGTAAAGTTGGAGCAGAATGTCCACAACACAGTTAAATGTAAACATTTGAGGGGCCAGCATTGTGGTATACCAGGTTAAGCCACCTCCTGCGATGCCAGTATCCCATATGGGCACTGGTTCAAGTCCTGGCTGCTCCCCTTCTAATCCAGCTCACTGATAATGGGCCTTGGAAGGCACAGGAGCCCAAGCCCTTGGCCCCGGTACCCACGTGGGAGACCTGGATAAAGTTCCTGTCTCCTGGCTCCAGCCTGGCCTTCCCCTGGCCCGTTGTGGAGTAAACCAGTGGATGGAATATCTCTCTCTCTCTGTAACTCTGACTTTGAAATAAAATAAATCTTTTTTTAAAAACTAGGTTTTTTTTTTATGTTTATTTGAAAGGCAGAATTAAAGAGAGGAAAAGACAGAGAAATATCTTCCATATTTTGTTTTATCTCCCAGATGCCCCCAACAGCCAGGGCTGGGCTGGGCGGAAGCCAGGAGACAGGAACCCTATCCAGGTCTCCCATGCGGGTGGCAGGGACCCAAGTAGTTGGGCTGTGATCCGCTTCCTTTCGAGGCACCTAAGCAGGAAGCTGGATTGGAATCTGAGGGCTGGGACTCAAACTGATACTGCGGTGTGGGCAGGCATCCCAAGTGGCAGCTTGATCCACTGCACCACAATACTTAATCCTGAAACTAGTTCTCTACACATTCGATTATTGCTGTTTCTTGAAGATTTACTCGTTTATTAATTTGAAAGGCACAACAACAGGGAGGGAGAGACAGATCTTTCCAGTGGCTCACTGCCAGCCAGGACTGGGCCAGACTGAAGCCAGGAGCCAGGAACTCCACCCTGGTCTCCCACGCGGGTGGCAGGGGCCTGAGCACTTGGGCCCTCCTGTGCTACCTTCCCAGGTGCCTTAGCAGGAAGCTGGATCAGAAGCTGAACAGCCTAGTTTTCCATGAAATTTTTGAAACATCGTGGTATTTCTGTGTGTTTATTGAGCACTTTTTGTGATGGAGTTGTCGTTTTTAAATTTCAGGCTTCTTTATTAAAGAATGATGAAACTAAAGCCCTTACTCCAGCTTCCCTGCAGAAGGAATTGAACAACTTGTTGAAATTTAATCCGGATTTTGCTGAAGCGGTGAGTCTTCCCCAGTGTGTTTGGGTTGGAAAGGAAAGACAAGGCTTCCCCGTATATACTCTGTATATGTTGAATGTCAGTACATGGAACTGGAGTCAGTCCACTGGCCCAGGTTCCTGAAGGAAGTCCTGTTGTGGGCGAGTAACTGGGAGCAGATTGTAGGGCGCCCCCCACCCAGGGGATTTCTTCCTTCTGTTGATGTTTTTATTCATTCTCTCTCTCTCGTGAATTTTGGATAGGAGACAGTAGAGTAGACTGATCAAAACAAAAGTTGTGAGGTTGAAAAAACTCCTTTTTGTCAGTATTTTGTATCAACTGGAATCTGCCCATTAAGATGCAGATTTAATCCAGTGATTCAAAGCAAAGTGAAAATAATTAACTTAGTAAACCCATAGTAGTCTCCCTGTGTTTTAACTTGAGCATTTAAAAAATCAGTTTTTATAATTTGTATATGAATTCAGGCTTGAAGATTTTTATTTCTGAACTTGCCATGTTCCTAAATCCTGAACTAGGTGGGGCCCTTCACCTTGGGAACCACCCAGCATAACCAGCGGCACAGAGGATGCACGTTTAGGATGACACTGACACCAGCACTAATGGCCCTGATTTCATTTTGGACTCCCTTGGCGGGAACCAGCGTGTCTTGAGCCCATCTTATTCCACCGTTAGGGAAAAGCTTAGGCTGAGCCCTGACCGCCCGCTAGAAAGACAGGGCGCCGGGATGCTTGCAGAGCTCTGCGGTAGTCCCCCGCGAGGCAGTGCAGCGTTTCAAGTGCATGGCTTCATCTCTCGCCTTAGCACTACCTCAGCTACTTGAACAACCTCCGCGTCCAGGATGTTTTCAGTTCGACACACAGCCTGCTGCATTATTTTGACCGCCTGATACTCACTGGAGCCGAGGGCAAAAGCAACGGGGAAGAGGGCTACGGGCGGAGCCTGCGATACGCCGCCCTGAACCTGGCTGCCCTCCACTGCCGCTTCGGTCACTAGTAAGTTTGTGGGCTTTTGTCGATGCAGAAATCGAAGATGCTAACTCTACATCTTAATTGAGATGCATTTCTTAAAGTAATGTATTAGAAGAGGAAGAAGAAAGAGACCAGCCCCTTCCGCTTGGACTTGTCAGTAACGGCACCAGGAGGAAGCAGTGTTGCACTGGGACAAAAGTTAATGAAAGAAAACCTTCTGCCCAAGTAGGCTGCCCCCTGGTGTCACTGCTTAGCATTGCCGTCTTAGTGCACGGCCTCTTTCCTCGATTCTGAGAAAACAGCCCTTCAATGAAAAGGAAATTAGGTCATTAGGCCAGAGATTCCCAAAAGGAAATTTTGGAGGTAGTAATTGGGATGCAAAAGCTATTTTTAGTACTTTAAAGATGAAAGGAAGTTGCGCCTTTACTAGATATATGACTGCACAGGCTTACTAAAAGTCACGTTTGCTTTTGGTGGAATTTATTCTGTCTTTTGGATGCTTCTGTGTTTTTAATTAGTAAAGTAGGAAACGTGAGAAATTATTATTTAATAAATGGGTATATTAAAAAAAAACTAAAATCATGCAGGCTGTTTTGGAAACAATGTAATAACGTGAGTTAAAGTAAAAGATAACAAATGACTAGTTAAAAGTTTCCGCAGGCTCTCCTCCCCTCCCCCATGGCTTTTCCAGGGTGAGAGAGATGTAGTCTGTGCTTCAGGCATTGTTGAATAGAGTCTGTGAGGGTACTTTTAAAATTCATGGAAAATGGAATTGGGGTAGGCGTTTGGCACAACGGTTAGGGCATCTCCTGGAATGCGTGCATCCCATCTCAGAGTGCCTAGGTTTGTGTTCTAGCTCCACTTCTGGACTCCCATTGCCTGCTAGTGTGCACCCTGAGAGGCAGTCAGTAATGGCAAGTCCTTGGGCCCCTACTGCCCATATGGAAGATCCAGATTGAATTGTAGTCTCTTAGCTTTGATGTGGCCCAGCTGCCCCCCGTTGCAGGTGATTGTGGAATGAACCAACAGATGGAAAATTTCTCTTTTTCTGTCTTCCAAATAAAAATGGAAATAAATAAAAATTGAAAATAGAATTAAAAGGCAAGTTTATTTTAGTGTAGAAAATTTTTTGAAATCTGCAGTTTCTACATAGTATGCATTTTCCGTGAACTGTTTGAAGACCCTTGGTATGCATGGATTTCAAAAATGTTCTGTACCAAAATAAACAGCTATGTGTTTATAATTTTAAATTATCTCAGTTTTTTATTTAAGAGAGAGATAGACAGAAAGAGCCCCCGTCCACTGGTTCACTCCCCAGACACCTGCGACAGCCGGAACGGGGACACACCAGGGCCGGGAACTCCGTCCATATCTCGCACACGGGGACTCGTCAGAACTGTCACTGCTGCCTCCCTGAGTCTGCATGTGAAGGAGGCCGCACTCATGAGCCCTGGCACTTGAACCCAGACCCTCGCAGGTGTCTTAACTGGTGTCTCAACTACCATGCCAAATGCCCTCCCCAACGTACCTGTTTTCCAGGAACATTTCGAAGTGTCCTCATACCAGTGAAAGTGCAGCGTTCAAAGTTGACCTGAGGCTTCTCTCTCCGCCTCTGTAGGCCAGGCAGTACCTGGGGAATTCTATTAGTTTCTGGTTGCTGGGTTTTAAAAGGGCAGTAGGTGAGCTGTAGCTTGTACCTGGGGGAGCATCTCAGCATGCGGAAGATGCCGTATAAATGCGGCAGGGAGGTTGAGAGCGTGTTAACGGGACAGTAAATGGTTTCTCCAGGCTTGCAGTCAAGGGCGCGTGAGAAGGGCGCAGACTGCTTCAGAGAGTGGCTGCTAGGGAAGATTGAGAGCTGCTAAGGGCGAGTTAAAGGGCAAAATGTTTTTGTTCACTCTAAGGAGGAAGTCTCCCTGTCTAGAGCACTCAAGAAAGATGCTTGTGTGGTACTTGGCCTGGACCAGGGGTGTCCTCAAGGGAATTCAAGCATCGGACTAACAGTTGTACCTGAAAATGCTTAAAGCTACCCCAGTCCTCTATGATTTTGTGAGAGCTCATAGTATTTTGTGGTAACTAACTTCTTTTTGTCTGTCCAGATTTATTAAGTTCTGGATCAGTGTGTTTTAGTGTGTTTTAGTGTGTGTGTGTGTGCTCTTAAATAACAGCAATGCTGTGTGTGATGCACACCAATAGCGTGTGTCTGTGTGAAGAATGGCTTCCCCGGTTCAGAAGTTTCAAAAAGTGCAAGTCACTTTTTGATGCCCTTCCTTTCTGTGTTCACGACATTATCTGTGCATAGGCAGCTGACTGCACAGAACACAAATGGGGAAGTCAGTTCATGCTCAAGTTAGTGCTGTTACTCAGGTCCAGGCTTCTCTCTTTCTGGCCCTGGATCTGTGGCTGTGTAAATCTTTCTCTCTCGACTGAAAGGGTTGTGGCAATTTCTTCAAAAATAGTTGTTCACTGAGCATCTCATGTGTACTAGGTATTATAGGTTCTGGGGGTTACAGCAGTGAAAAAAAGAAAAAAAAACAAAAACAAAAACCTAATACGGAGGTTGCCCTGGGAGAGAAGGGCAGTAACCAGTGCTGAACCTAGCTGTAAGCCTCGTGTGTCCGCAGGGATGGCTCAGGTTAAGGGCTGAGTGCCGGCAGAGACTACGTTCAGCTCAGGAGCGCCCTTACCCCAGATGCGTGCACGAGTTGTAAATCTGTTTATTAAGGTTGCAGGTCCGCCCTCGCTGGTCTCTGCTACTTTACTGTGCAGGCAGCTGAGGGAGTGACCTGTGGCTGGATCTGAAGAAAATACTCAAGTCAGGGAGCAGCACAGTTGACTTGTGTGTTTGAGCAGCAAGTGCTGTGGCTGCAGTCCTGAGTCAGGAGGGGCCGAGTGAGGCCAGAGACGCCGCAGGGGTCCCGGCGTTCAGATCTCTGTAGGCAGGTGAGGATTTGGGCTTTCATGTGCCCGGAGGGACATGGCAAGCATTGTCTGGAGGCTGCAGGCCTTTCTGTTCTTTGTCTTTTTCTTTTAAAGATGTATTATTTATCTGAAAGGCAGAGTTACAGAGGGAGAGGGAGAGACAGGGATCTTTATCTTCATCTGCTGGTCCACTCCCCAAATGCCTGCAATGGCCAGGATCAGGCCAAGCTGAAACCAGGAGCCTGGAACTCTCTCTGGGTCGTCTACATGGGTGGCATCTTCTGCTGCTTTCCCGGGCCATTAGCAGGGAGCTGGGTCAGAAGTGGAGCAGCCAGGACACAACTGGGGCCCATACGGGATGCCGGAACGACAGGCCTCAGCTTAACCTGCTGCCTCACAGTGCCTGCCCCTGCTCTGGCGTTTGTAAAGCAGTGGCCATCTAGTGCATTGCAGATGTTATAATCTGTTTGCGTCTTGCTCTTTTACTGAAGACTTCAATCTGCGGATTTTCTGATCAGCAGTGATAGAAACTCAGGAGTTCTGGGGCTGGCGCTGTGGGGTAGTAGGTTAAAAGCCTCCGCCTGTGGCGCCTGCATCCCACATGGGCACTGGTTCATGTCCTGGCTGCTCCTCTTCTAATCCAGTTCTCTGCGATGGCCTGGGAGAGCAATAGAAGATGGCCCAAGTGCCTGGGCCCCTGCACCCACGTGGAAGACCCAGAGGAAGATCCTGGCTCCTGGCTTCGGATCGGCCCAGCTCTGGCCGTATTGCAACCATTTGGGGAGTGAACCAGGGGACAGAAGACCTTCCTCTCTGTCTCTTCCTCTTTCTCTATGTAACTCTACCTCTCAAATAATTAAATAAATACATAAAATCTTTAAAAAAAATGTTAATAGAAAAGCAACTCTGAAGTTCCCTTGGGTACTTGAAGTCTCTGTGTTGGCAATCCACCTTGGCTCCCTACTAGAGAAGTGTAATCTCTGGTCAGTCCTGTTTCAGCTTACTGTGTATACAGTTCTCTCAGAATCTCTCTTTGGCCTTAGTTTGGCATGCTAGGTATAGAGTTCTCTTTTCTAGCAGTAGCGTTATTTGGTTATCAAATGGTCAGTGAGGGTAAATCAAGTGATGCTTGTTAAGGACCTGCATTTGAAGATTGCTTCCTGCCCTAAAGCGGTTACAGTCTAGTGTATTGCTCTACTTTCAACATGAAAACAGGTTTAAACGAAATGTAAAATATTTTTAAAAAATGTATCTAGTTTCTTTATTTGGGCAGTTGTTGAGAAAATAATTATTACCCAATTAAAGTTACTCATGTGAGGCTACTGCTTATTTTGGAAGAAGTGATATCCAGGAATTTCTGGTCCTATTTGGAGATTCTCAGTGAAATGGGGTTTGCTTGCTTGCTTTTCCTTTATAAAGATGTTCTCATTTATTTGAAAGGCAGAGTTACAGGGAGAGGGAGAGAAAGAGAGAAAGAAATCTTAAAACCGCTGGTTTATTCCCCAAATGTCCACAATGGCCTGGGCTTGGCCAGACCGAAGCCAGGAACCTAGAACCCTTCTGGTCCTCCCACATGGGTGCGTGGGCCCAAGGATTTGGGCCTCCTCTGCTGTTTTCCCAGCACATTAGCAGGGAGCTGGATTGGAAGTAGAGCAGCGAGACTTGAACCTGTGGCTATATGGGATACTGGCATCGCAGGCTGTGGCTTAACCCACTGTGCCACAATGTCAGCTGTTGACCTGTGTTTGTAAAACTTTTGTTCTGTTTCTTGTCGTTAGGCAGCCCAACATTTAGAATATGGCCTGTACTATCCAGAGGATTATAAACGAGTGGATAGAATAAAATTTACACAGATTAAATAAATAGAAAGTTATATCCAGGAGTGTTTAATCGAGCCTTGCAACTTGGGGCTACAGATAGCATTTCGGTGGGTGTTTTCAGAAATGAGAGCTCAGTGAGGCTAAGTTAGAAGTATTCAGATAGAGGGGGAGTTGCGTGAGCTGGGAAAAAAACATTCAGAATGGGAATCCTCAGAATACTTTTTAAAACCAGCTTTGAAAAAGTGATAAAAGAAAAAAAATGTATGTAGAAAAAAAGTAATATATAAGGGATTGCAATGAAAAGTAAAATAGTATGTCTTCCTGCCCTTCTCGACAGCAGACAGCAGTGACAACCAGAGTAAACGTTAGCAGCAGAGATAAAGGCCAGTTCTTCATGCCTCTTAGCAGAGTCACCTCCGAAGGGGCTTGTCTCTGTCTTCACTGTTAGTGTGCCCTGTTGCTGGGGTGGCAGTGCCTCTGAGAAAATGTGCCTATAAGTAGCTGCAGCTTCCAACCTAGAGACCTGTCTTGGGTGAATTGTTCACAGATGACTTCTGCTCCCCTTGCTTGTGCTTGTTTGTGATTGTCGATGGGATGTTAATGTTTAGTCTGTCGTTAGTCAACAGGCAGAGCTCGCCCTGCAGGAGGCAATTAGGATTGCCCAGGAGTCCAACGATCACGTGTGTCTCCAGCACTGTTTGGTGAGGCCGTCCTCTGGTCTGGGAGTTTTGCTCGTGGGTTGAGTTGGCCTGCGGAAGGCCCCTTTGGAATTGGGTCCTTTTGCAACTGGAGCGGAGGTCCTTAGCAGTAAAGGGGACGCGGGTTTGGTGGTCATGGGAAACCAGAAAGGACAACCCATGTTTATTGATCTTTTATCGTCACTCATGACAGCTGTTTAGCCTACAGTTGTAATGCGATTTGCCATGAAAAAAGAGTGAGCCTTTTACAAAATATCATATTTGACATTGGCATTAACAAAAAGACGTAAGCTACACCTACTGACTGTGAAACATTGGCCTTTAAAAACAGTCAGCAAGCACAAGTAGTGTAACACAGAAATGAATCACTCGACTGTCACCCGAGAATCTCAGTTCTTAATTAAAGGCCATGTGGGGCCTTCATGTTTTTTCTCTGGAGCACCTGCCATGCATAGCCCTCCCAGGTGAAGCAGATCAATGGCTTGTTTACTTCAGTTTTTTTTTTTTTTTTTTTTTTTTTTTTTTAGTGTGTTTGGCAGGTTTTATTTAAGTTCATAATTCAATAGAGGGTACTTTAGGGGATTTATTTGTCCCTTTTTAATTCTTTCTTTTGACCACGTTGGTACTTGGCTAGCAAGTTAGCCATTGTCATTGTTATGATATCTTTTGGTGATTGTCTCTTGCCAGAGCTGGCTTTATGTGCTGGGGCAGAAGAGAGCCGATAGCTATGTCCTGCTGGAGCACTCGGTGAAGAAAGCAGTGCATTTTGGGTTACCGGTAAGGCTGATCTTTCTGTGAGATTGTTCAGTAAATGGCGCTGAGCCTTTGTCTCTTCTTCCACCCACCTTTGTCATGAACCAATGGTAGATGTAGAACGGAGATTTCAGTGTGTGCTTTTATTCTTGGCATTTCATTTGACTATAATTATTAAACCACTAAATTCTGTTTGGTAGGTTTCTCTCTGTTCCCTTTATCCTAATAACATCTGTGGATGCTCCATTTATCAGCTGGATAAGAGGTCTTTCTGTAGCTTACCGAGCAACATGAACTCAGCACATACTCACTTTCAGAGATGGTAGGAAAGGCTCGTTTTTAAATCAGGGACGAATAGGGCTCGCTGCCTGCTTTTGTATGGTCCCCAAGCTAAGAATGGGTTTTACATTTTAAATCACTGGGCAGAAGAATCAGCCTACAAAGAACGCGTGTCAGAAAGTAAAGGTGGCCTGCAAAGCCTAACCTGTAAACTGTCTGGCCCTTTAAAGGACACGTTTGTTGATCCTTGTTTTGAACAGTTAGACAAGGAACCAGTACATCCGACAGGCGGATTTGTCCTTTCTCATCTTGAGTGGCAGCGAGGGAGCTGAATTACAGTCCTCAATACTCAGCAGTAGTCGTGACTGCTAGGATTTGTCACAGAAACACTTGGTGGGAACTGGACCACAGAGGCAGTGGGACTGTTTACAGCTTCTGTCCAGAAAGTCTGCAGCAAGCTTCCTTGAGTTTCAGAATGTGAGGAGGTCTTCAAAAGGTTTAGGGAAAATGTATATTATGAAAAAACTATGCATAGATTTTAAAAAACTTGCGCCGAAATACCCTTATGTCTTAATTTCATTTTCCACAGCTTTTTGAAGCACTCTCGTAATTATATGTGATAGTTTCATGCACATGCTTTTAGAATCTGTGAATTGTCCACGTGATTCACCTTTGGGAAAGGAAGCTTACACATACAAAATCAGTCTAGTGACAAAACCGGCTCCTTGAAATAAATGATAGACTTCTTAGGTAGAGTTTTTGTGGTGGATGTAAGCTTTGTTTACCGCTTTCATCCTGAAAGATTGCACCAGGAGTCAATGAGAAGAGAATGTGTTGCTCATGATAGGTGTCCTTTTTTGATCTAACACATAGTGTGCCCAGCACTGTTTGACATATATTATTTCATTGTAATCCTTACAACAATTCTTTATGATAGGTTTGATGCCCATTTTACAGATGAGGAAGCTGAGGCTTAGCTAAGAAGCTAAGTGACTGGCCCTAAGTCACACAGTAAGTAGCAGAGGCAGTGCTAAAGTCTAGGTCCATCTAATGCCAAAGCCCTGGCTCTTTCCTGTGTACCCTCTGCTTCTCTTCCAGCCCCAGATTGCAGGAACACATCTCAGATGGGTCAGGGTTAAGGTCAGGTTGTAGGTACCTTCCTTTTAAGTAGTCACTGTGCATGTGCTGAAATGTGAAATCCACCACATTTCTGAAGAGCAAAACAAATTCTGTCATGTAATCTCTATCTTGGGTCGTGGGTATATCTGTCCCCTTAGTACCTCGCCTCCCTGGGAATACAGTCCCTTGTTCAACAGAGAGCTTTTGCTGGGAAGACGGCCAACAAGCTGATGGACGCCCTCAAGGACTCCGACCTCCTGCACTGGAAGCACAGCCTGTCGGAGCTCATCGACATCAGCATAGCCCAGAAAACGGCCATCTGGAGGCTGTACGGGCGCAGGTCAGTCCGCGAGCCCGCTGCCACCGTGAGCGGGGGCTGAGCAGGTTCTGTGAGAGGCGCATGCATAAGGCTTCCCCTTTGGTGGAAGTTGTTCTCGCAGAGGAGTCATGCAAATGCTTTGTACTCTAAAGACATTTGTATTTTGCACGGACTTGCGGTTTTTTTCCCATGCACGTTCTGACTTGCTCTGTGAAGTAGCTGGGGGGTGATCTCCATTCTGGTTCACGTATCTGATCTGCCCACAATCACAAATATACTTGAGCAGTGGCAGAGACAGGACACACGGCGGTCCTCTGACTCCCACACCTTGCTCCTCTGCTCTGAGACAAGAACCTCTCTTCCTGTTCGCAGGAGGTGTGGTCCTGTGTCTGCCCAAGTCGAGCATCCCCTGTCCCCCACAGCTGATGTAAAGAAGGCTGCTGTTCTGTTAAATGTTTCCTCTGGAATAGTTCCAGCCTCATGTTTACTTTTCCATTTAGCCATCTTGAGCTTGGAAGTAAACTTCTGAACCAGATTTTAATCCTGGAGCCCGGTCGCTACCTTACGCTTCACCTAGACAACCCACTATTTCTAGGAATTCAGTAATGAAAGGAAGTGCCTATTTTACCAGTCTTGTTTTTGTATTTCAGATAATTTTTTGGCACGGTTGTGCTCTGAAACAGCTGCAGACACTGGCCACTGCTTGCATTGCCAGAGCAGCCGGTGCTAGGATGGCATCGGGTCTGAATTTACCCGTGAAAGCTAACTAACATGCTGTGACCACAGGGGGATCGGGTGGGGTGGGGGGTGGGCGTCTGGGCGCATGGCGCTCCGGTTGTGTTAGAACCACTGCCTGTTTCCTCGGGGGCTGCACATCCAGGATGCTGTTCTGCTCTCCCTGTTGTGAGGTCAGAAGAGCAGCTGCTTCCACAAAGCCAGGACCCGTAGCGGGTGAATGTCTTGCGTTTCCACCTAAGTTAACAGTAGGGTGCGGCTCGGCAGCCTGGCTCTCCGGGCTGAGAGGAAACCTGCCCTCTCCTCACCCAGCACCATGGCGCTGCAGCAAGCCCAGATGTTGCTGAGCATGAACAGCCTGGAGTCGGTGCATTCGGGCGTGCAGCAGAACAACACAGAGTCGTTTGCCGTCGCACTCTGCCACCTTGCAGAGCTACACGCGGAGCAGGTAGGCAGGTGGCCAGGCCGCTGTGTCCCTGGAGCGATGGAGGCTCCGCCGTTTCTTGAGAAAAGCACTGGACGTGGGTCTGGTTGATGCAGGAGGCTGAAGAGTGACATCCCACGAGTGATCCTGGGCTGAGTGTGGAGTCTGCAAAGTGCATTGACCTTGGAATTCCTTTTGGCCTAGTGAGGGGGACAAGTCAGCCAGTTCCATTTAACAACAGAATAAAAAGGAGTCTTTGAAGTTCAAGGTAGTAGGGGTATGTGGGCCTGCAGGAGAGGGGAGGGTATGATGCACGGCACAGTGAGAGTGATAGTAGCATCTCCTTGTTCTCTGCGAGGCCCCGTGCTTGGATTGCTGTGTGTCGCCTTACAGAGTCTTCCAGCAGCCCTGTCAGGTCAGCTGTGTCTGTATCACTGCTCACAGGACAAGAAGCTGAGGTCCCAGGAACTAGTCCTGCACCACCTCTGATAAATGTGAGAGTCAGGTCTCCAGCCTAGGGCTGGTGAACTCCAAGGAAGGGCTGTGGGAACCGAATGTAACCAAGGAGTCTTACCTGAGTCTTTATAGAGGACAGATTAAAGGAATCTTACGCTGTTCCACAGTTTGTCTTCCTTTTACTCAAAAAATGTCTTTCAAGGAACAGAGAGTAGGGAAAACTATTTTTTGAAATCTCACTATTGGCTGGCATTGTGGCACAGTGTGTTAAGTTGTCCGCTTGTGATGCCAGTGTCCTGGCTGCTAGTTCAAGTCCCAGCTGCTCCACTTCCAATCCATCTTGCAGCTAATGCACCTGGGAAGGCAATGGATGATGGCCCAAGTGATTGGGCCTCTGCACCCAGGTGGAAGATCTGGATGGAGTTCCAGCCTCCTGGCTTTGGCCTGGCCCAGCCCCAGCCACTGTGGCCATCTGGGGAGTAAGCCAGCAGATGGAAAATCTCTCTCTGTGCTCTTCTTCTCTCTTTAACCCTGCCTTTTAAATAAATAAATAAGTTCTACTATCTTGTGAAACCAACAAATAAATAAATCCCACTATCTCATGAAACACTGTTCTGTTCTGGCTTTAATTATGTTTTCTTGATCACTGTATTTTTCATTCCCTCTTTGTGGTGTCCATGGTAGATTGCATTGTAACACTCATTGTTCCTCACTGTGCAACCTAAAGATCTTTGGATGATTTCTGCCTTTTTCAAAAGTATAAAAATACTTCCCTTGATTAAACATAGTTTAGCATTTTACAATTTTTTTTAAGATTTATTTATTTATTTTGAAAGAGTTAGAGAGAGAAACAGAGACAGAGGATCTTCCATCTTCTGGTCTGCTCCCCAGATGACTAGGGACTGGCTTGAAGCCAGGAGTTTCCTCCAGGTCTTCCTCATGGGTGGCAGGGGCCCAAGCAGTTGGTCCCATCTTCCACTGCCTTTCCCAGGCTACCAGCAGAGAGCTGGATCAGAAAGTGAATCAGCCAGGACTTCAAATCTGTACCCGTGTGGGATGCCAGCCTCTCAGGCAGCAGCTTTACCAGCTGTGCTATAGCACAGGGCCCATTTTACAGCTCTTTTTACTTTTTTAAAAAGATTTATTTATTTAATTGAAAGAGTTAGAGAGAAGGAGAGGCAGAGAGAGAGAGAGGTCTTCCATCTGCTGGTTCACTCCCCAATTGGCTGCAACGGCAGGAGCTATGCTGATCTGAAGCCAGGAGCCAGGAGCTTCCTCTGGGTGTTCCCACACAAGTGCAGGGACCCAAGGACTTGGGCCATCTTCTATTGCTTTCCCAGGCCATAGCAGAGAGCTGGATTGGAAGTGGAGCAGCCGGGACTTGAACTGGCACCCATATGGGATGCTGGCACTGCAGGCAGCAGCTTTACCCACCACACCACAGCACTGGCCCCGTTACAGCTCTTTAAGTAGCTGTGTAAGCAGAGCAGATGGGAGGGCTTTGGTTGGGGGAATTCCCTGTGCCTCTGTCAGCTGCTTGCTTTCCATGCCTGTGAAGCACCACCCAAGCTTTCAGAGGTGAAGGTGGCAAACCAGTGGTGCTTGCTGCTTGCTGTCCTCCAGGAATTTTGAACATTGTTCTCTTTCTGGTATCTTCCTCTTCTTGGAACTTCCTTCTTCTTCTTCTTTTTTTTTTTTTTTTTTAAGATTTTATTTATTTATTCGAGAGGTAGAGTTACAGACAATGAGAGGGAGAGACAGAGAGGTCTTCCTTCCGCTGGTTCACTCCCCAGATGGCTGCAACGGTCGGAACTGTGTTGATCTGAAGCCAGGAGCCAGGTGATTCTTCCAGTCTCCCACGTGGGTGTAGGGGCCCAAGAACTTGGGCCATCTGCTACGGCTTTCCCAGGCCACAGCAGAGAGCTGGATTGGAAGAGGAGCAGCCGGGACTTGAACTGGTGCCCATGTGGGGTGCCGCCTGCCGCAGGTGGAAGATTAACCTACTGTGCCATGGCGCTGGCCCCGGAACTTCCTTAGCATCACTTTTCCTCTCCTGATGCCGTGGCTGAGTGGAGTGCTTGGTAGTGAGTGGGTCAGTGCACAGTCACTTAAGTGTCTGTGTGATCCTCCTGTGACTGTTTGCCCCAGCAATTTTGCTGAGATTAATTCAGCAGGCCAGACAATTCACCTGTTTATCCCCTTGTGGCTTTTTTTTTTTTTTTTTTTGACAGGCAGAGTGGACAGTGAGAGAGAGAGACAGAAAGAAAGGTCTTCCTTTGCCGTTGGTTCACCCTCCAATGGCCGCCGTGGCCAGCGCGCTGCGGCCAGCACACCGCGCTGATCCGATGGCAGGAGCCAGGAGCCAGGTGCTTTTCCTGGTTTCCCCATGGGGTGCAGCCCTTGTGGCTTTTTGAAGTAGGATTCTCTCTCCTGAGCCCAACCTTATCCAGGGAACTTCAAAATGTTTATGGAAAAATGGAATTAAAAATAAGTTTATTCTGTTGCAAATAGTTTTCTGGGGGCCGGCACCACGGCTCACTTGGCTAATCCTCCACCTGTGGCACCGGCATCCCATATGGGCGCCGGGTTCTAGTCCCAGTTGTTCCTCTTCCAGTCCCGCTCTCTGCTGTAGCCCTCCTGGGCAGTGGAAGATGGCCCAAGTGCTTGGGTCCTGCACCCGCATGGGAGACCAGGAGGAAGTACCTGGCTTCTGGCTTCAGATCAGCGCAACACAGACCTTTCTGTCTGTCTCTCTCTCTCACTGTCTAACTCTCCTATCAAAAAAAAAAAAGTTTTCTGGGGCTGGTGCTGTGGTATATGGGGTAAGCCACTACCTGTGACGCTGGCATCCCATATGGGCTCTGGTTCATGTCTTGGCTGCTCCACTTCCAGTCCAACTTCCTGCTAATGGCCTGAGAAAAGCAACTCCTGGCTCCTGGCTTTGGCCTGACCCAGCACTGGCCATTGAGGCCATGTGGGGAGTGAACCAGGGATTGGTGATGCCTTTCTCTCTGCCTCTCCCTCTCTCTAACTCTTTCAAAATAAATAAATAAATCTTTAAAAATCTTTTTTCTAATCCATGCATACTTTTTTCATAATACACATTTTCCATAAACTTTTTGAAGATCAGCATGTGCAGGAATTTAAAAAATTTTTTGTGCCAAAATTAAATTCCATTTTCCATGACCTTTTCTTTCTTTCTTTCTTTCTTTCTTTCTTTCTTTCTTTCTTTCTTTCTTTCTTCTTTCTTTCTTTCTTTTTTTTTTTTTTTTTACAGGCATAGTGGACAGGGAGAGAGAGAGAAAGACGGAGAGGAAGGTCTTCCTTTACCGTTGGTTCACCCTCCAATGGCCGCTGCGGCCGGCGTACCACGCCTATCCGAAGGCAGGAGCCAGGTGCTTCTCCTGGTCTCCCATGGGTTGCAGGGCCCAGGCACTTGGGCCATCCTCCACTGCACTCCCTGGCCACAGCAGAGAGCTGGCCTGGAAGAGGGGCAACCGGGACAGAATCCGGCGCCCCGACCAGGACTAGAATGTGGTGTGCCGGCGCCGCTAGGCGGAGGATTAGCCTAGTGAGCCGCGGCGCCGGCCTACCTTTTCTTTTCTTAAAGATTTATTTATTTACTTGAAAGACAGTTACAGAGAGAAAGGATAAAAAAAAAAAAACCACACACACACACACACACACACAGAAAGGGTAAGACAGAGAGAAATCTTCTGTCTGCTAGTTTATTTCCAAACTGGTCACAATAGCCAGGACTGAGCAGGACAAAACCAGGAACCTAGAACTCCATCCCGGTCTCCTGTATGGGTGGCAGGGGCCCAAATACTTCAAGCCACCATCTATTGCCTTTCCAGGTGCATTAACAGGGAGCTTGATAAGAAGTAGAACAGCCAGGACTGGAACTGGCACTCATATGGGATACCTGTGACTTAGGCGGGCGGCTTAACCCTCTGTTCCACAGTGTGGGGGAGAGCCCCCCGCTTTTGAAGTGTCCTTATACCGTGGAGTAGCTTCTCTTCTGGGGCTGGCATTGTGGCCCAGTGGTTTAAGCCACTACCTATGACGTAGGCATCCCGTATGAGAACCATTTTGGGACCTAGCTGCTTCACTTCTGATTCAACTCCCTGCTAATGAACCTGAGAAAGCAACAGAAGAGGAACTAGCTCCTTGGGCCCTTGGCAACCATGTGGGACACTTAGATAGATTTCCTGGTTCCTGGCTTTGGTCTGGTATAGCCCTGGCCATTGTGGCCATTTAGGGAGTGAACCAGCCGATGGAAGATCTCTGTCTCTCCCTCACTCAGCCTTTCAAATAAATCTTTAAAAAGCACTTTGAGTTATATAGGTAGAACTTTTTTTTTCTTTTTGGAATTGAAAACTATTTTATAAAAACCTGATCTTAGCTTAATTCTTTAGGCTTGAAACTTACTCCAAGGCTATGTGTTAGAATCAGGCTTTTTTTTTTTTTTTTTTTTTTTTTTTTTTTTTTTTTTTTTTAAGATTTATGTATTTGAAAGGCAGAGTTACAGAGAGAGTGAGACATCTTCCACCTGCTGGTTCACTCCCCAAATGGCCACAACATCTGGGGCTGCGCCAGGCTGAAGCCAGGAGTCTGGAGCTTCTTTCAGGTCTCCTATGTGGATACAAGGGCCCAGGCACTTGGGCCATCTTCCGCTGCTTTCCCAGGTGCACTAGCAGGGAGCTGGATTGGAAGTGGAGCAGCCAGGACTCAAATTGGTGCCCATATGGGATGTGGTGGCTTAACTGGCTATACTACCGCGCTTGCCCACAATCAGGCTCTTTAGATAAGATCCCGGTCTCTTATGATTCCAGCTTCCTACTAACACGTACCCTTTTCTGGCTCCTGGCTTTGGCCTGGCCCAGCCCTGGCTGTTTCAAGCATTTGCCTGGCCCAGCCCTGGCTGTTTCAAGCATTTGGGAAGTGAACCAGCAGATAGGATCTCTCTGTCTCTGTTTTTCTGTCTTTAAACTAAAATAAATATGGGGCCGGCACCGTGGCACAGAGGGTAAAACCGCCACCTGCAGTGCCTGCATCCCATATGGCTGCCAGTTTGAGTCCCAGCTGCTCCTCTTCCAATCCAGCTCTCTGCTATGGCCTGGGAAAGCAGTGCAAAATGGCCCAAGTCCTTGGGCCCCTGCACCCACGTGGGAGACCCGAAAGAAGCTCTTGGCTCCTGGCTTCAGATCAGCATAGCTCTGGCCGTTGCAGCCGATTGGGGAGTGAACCAGTGCCTTCCTTTCTCTCTCTCTCTCTCTCTCTCTCTGCCTTTCCTTTTCTCTCTGTATAACTCTTTCAAATAAATAAATAAATAAATAAATCTTAAAACTAAAATACATAAATTAAATTACATTTAAAAAAGAATAAGAGGAGATCAGTGTTGTGGCATGTCAGGTTAAGCTGTCACCTGTGACGTGTGCATCCCAGATGAGCACTCGTTTGTGTCCCGGCTGCTCCACTTCCAATCTAGCTCCCTGCTGATGTGCCTGGGAAAGTAGTGAAAGATGGCCCAAGTGCTTGGGTACCTGTTCCCATGTGAGAGACCCAGAAGAAGCTCCTGGCTTTGACCTGCCCCAGACCTGGCCGTTGTGATCATTTGGGGAGTGAACCATTGGATGCATGATCTCTGTCTCTATGTAACTCTGCCTTTCAAATAAATACATAAATCTTAAATATAAAAACATAAGAGGGGCAAATGAGATGCATAAGTTACCCGTGTCCTACAGTGGAGTAATTGGGTTCAGTACCTAGCTCTGGCTCCCAACCAGCTTCCTGCCAATGCAGTCCCTGGGAAGTAGCAATGATGGCTCAAGTGATTGAGTTCCTGGCTTTTGGCTTTGGCTCAGCCCATTGCAAGCATTTGGGAAGTGAACCAGAGGATGGGACCTCCGTCTCTTTCTGTTGGATTAACAACAACAATAAGAAAGAATAAAAAATTAGGGGCCAACATGGTGGCATAGCAGGTTAAGCCTCTGCCTGGGTTGCTAACATCCCCGGTGGGCCCTGGTTCAAGTCCTGGCTGCTCCACTTCTGATCTAGCTCTCTGCTAATTTACCTGGAAAAAAGTAGAAGATGGCCCAAACGCTTGGGCCCCTGCACCCATGTGGGAGACCTAGAAGAAGCTCTGAGCTCTTGGCTTCAGCCTGGCATAGCCTCAGTCATGTGGCCATTTGGGGAGTGAACCAGCAAAAGAGAGAGGAAGAGCCCCCCCCCCCCCTCTTTCTGTATCTCTCCCTCTTTGCTCTGTAACTCTGCCTTTCAAATAAAGAATAAGAAAATTAATGACCTATTGTAATTCAGTGTCATTTCTACTTCCTTATTCCAAATAAAGATTCACTTGCAATGTAAAACAGTGAGACACTAGTTTTACTAATCAAAGAGGCAAAGATGCTTATGTGTTAGGATTAATAGAAAAGTATAGAGTACTAATTGAAAAGTACTTGAGACATTTCTAGAGCAGAACTTAAAAGGACCTGGCACTTATACTTCTAAGGTTTTTATCCTAAGGTAATAACTGGACACGTGTACAAAGCTGTATGCAATAAGATGTTTATTGTAGAATTTTTTTTTTAAAGGTTTACTTATTTATTTGAGAGACAAAGAGAGAGAGAAGTCTTCTGTTCACTTACTCACTGTCCAAATGGCTTCTATAGCTGGGGCTGGGCCATGCTGAAGCTAGGAACTACCCAGGTCCTCCACATGGGTGACAGGGGCCCAGGTATTTAGGCCGTCTGCTGCTGCTTTCCCAGGTGCATTAGCAGGGAGCTGGGTAGGAAGAACAGCTGGGACTCAACGGGTACCCATATAGGATGTTAGTGTCGCAGGCAGTGGCTTTACCTGCTGAGCTACAGCACCAGGTTGAAATATTTAATAATCACCAAATTATCCAAAGCTATATTATTTTGATATTCCATAATTTATTATGGAATAAATATACTGTAATATATAAATATAACATATGAAATACTAGATTTTCTAGATTTATATTTATTAACACTGGAAGAATTAATTCAAAAGAAGACATTTAGAGACTGGAATTGTGGCACAGCAGGTTAAGCCACTGCTTGTGGCACTGGCATCCCATTTCAGAATTGCACTTGGAGTCCCTGCTGCTCTACTACTGATCCAGCTTCCTTCTGATGTACCTGGGAAGGCAGTGGGTAATGGCTGAAGTATCTGTGCCCCTGCCACTCATGTGGGAATTCTGCTTGGAGTTCTGGGCTCCTGGCTTCGGCCTTGCTGAGGGCCAGCCATTGCAACCATTTGGGGAGTGAACCAGCAGGGGAAGACCTGTTTGCACTCCCTGTCTGTCTCTGTCTTTCCCTTTCTCTCTGATACTCTCCCTTTCAACTAAATAAATTTTTAAAAAAGATTTATTTAGTTGAAAGGGAGAGTTTCAGAGAGAGAGAGAGAGACAGAGATGTCTTTCATCCTCTGGTTCATTCCCCAAATGGCTGCAACAGCCAGGGCTGGGCCAGGTAGGAGCCAGGGGCCAGGAGCTTCTTCCAGGGCTCCCATATGTGTACAGGGGCCCAAGGACTTTGACCATCCTCTGCACTTTTCCAGGTGCATTAGCAGGGAGCTGGATTGGAAGTGGAGCAGTTGGGACTTGAACTAGCACCTATATTGGATGCGAGCATTTCAGGCAGCAGTTTAACCTGTAATTACACAATGCTGGTTCCTAAATAAATCATTTTTAAAAATGTGATGGAATGCCTACTGTGTTGTATACAGTGTCGTATATAATTTATAAAAATAGAGTATGTACTACTTTTGGAATATTTATTTTATATACATGTGCATAAAGAAGCCTTAAAGGAGATATGCAAAAACCACTGTGATTATCTTTGGTAGGTTGAAAGTGATTGTCTTTTCTTGTTCATGGGTCTTTTGTAGATTGTTTCCAGAGTGAGCATATCTTAGATGTATAATTTTTAGAAGTTTTGTAAAGTGAATGAGATTCCTTAGAACCTTAAAAAAATGGCTCTGAAATTCAGCAGTCTCTGCCGCGTGTGTTGCAGCAGCTCCAGCTGTGTTGGCCTCTGGCCTGTGCAGAGCCCATGTGGCCTTGGCAGGGGTTGTGCTCATTGGACCCTCTCTGCGTTCTAGGGCTGTTTTGCTGCAGCTGCTGAAGTGTTGAAGCACCTGAAGGAGCGATTTCCGCCCAACAGTCAGCACGCCCAGGTACCTGCCTTCTGCGTGGCCTTGGGTTTCCTCCTAAGAAGAAGGGTTTTCATCGTCGTGTCAAGAGGGATATTTTAGTGTCTGCCCTCGATAAGTGTTGTTGAGCTAAAAAGGAAACTGTCAGAGGACACATACAGACCTAGGATACTTATCCAAAGCTTAGGCTTAAACGTGATTGTTTAAAGATAAGTATATATGTTGTGGAAGTATTTTTAAAACATGAATAGGACGAGAAACAGCCCACCGACAGTTTACTCTGAAAAGCGAGAACTGTGGAACTCACAGAGGTCGTCAGCGGTATCTGTTAGTGCTTGAAGCATAGAAAGCAGTGTGTGAGTTGATGAAATTGATGGTTGACACACATGTGTTTGCAGTTTTATTCTCCATGCTTTTTACATACTTGAGATATTTTAAACGTTTTTATAAATCTGAAAAAGAATATGTGAATTGTTGTAAAGTATATTTGCTGCCAAGCCAAGCCAAAACACTTTTATGCCTGCATCGAATACTGGCATGAATATTTGTCACTTTGTACTTTGTTTTCATACTAGTTATGGATGCTGTGTGATCAGAAAATACAGTTTGACAGAGCGATGAATGATGGCAAATACCATTTGGCTGATTCACTAGTTACAGGAATCACAGCTCTTAACAGCATGGAGGGTGTGTATAGGTAAGAAAACTCCAACCTAATTAGAATGAAATAATTTTTAAATGTCTCTTTTTACTGTATTTGTGTGTGTGTGTGTTCATTTAGCTTATGAAAAACATCTTTTCTATTAGAATTCCAGACTTTTTCCTTGCACACGTGCATATACATATGTATACACGCACACACACACGCACACTTACAGACACACACATTATTTTTCCCTTTTGACAAAGATTAAATCAGGTGCGGTTTCTCCCCTTGGAAGGTTTACATCTGATTGAGGAGATGGAGATTCCAACCCCCAAAATGACTACAGTTAAAATATTTGCAAGATGTTCACATAACCATGTTGTGTTTGTTCTGATTCTGTTTCAGAAAAGCAGTTGTACTACAGGCTCAGAACCAGATGTCAGAGGCACACAAGCTTTTACAAAAATTGCTGAGTCATTGTGAGAAACTGAAGAACACAGAAATGGTGATTAGGTAAGAGGTCTCTCGCGCCTCTCACAGCGCTGTTCCGGTGGAGATGCTCATCCCGTGTTTCCTCTTTGTGATCAGCGTCCTGCTGTCGGTGGCAGAGCTGTACTGGCGATCTTCCTGCCCTACCATCGCGATGCCCGTGCTCCTGCACGCTCTGGCCCTCTCCAAGGAGTACCGCTTACAGTACTTGGCCTCGGAAACGGTGCTGAACTTGGCTTTTGCCCAGGTAAGCCCATATCCGTCTTGCTGACACCAGAGTCTGCTGCTACACGGTAGCATTGACGAGGATGATAATGAGCTTTCCCTGTTAACTGAAGTCTGGAAAGGCCGGCTCCAGGTTCATACTCCCGGAAAGGCCGTGGAGTGGCCAGGCTGAGGGCAGGCGGGCACTTCCCGGGGCCTCAGCTTTGCGGAGCTGTGTGTTTCGTAGCGGCACTCACCTCCGGTGAGGACCCCTGCACTCAGTGATGCTTGATCCACAGCACTGTGGATAAGGAAATGAGGAAGTCAGGTGTCCATTCAAAGTCTGTGGAAATCAAACTTGCTTTCTTGCTCCTCCGAGTAAAGGCTGTGAAGGAGGGGACTGTGTTCCCAGCTCTAGCCTCTGGAACCTGGTAGGACCTGCACTGTGGGCTTTCAGTGAGCATCACTGAAAGGCAGAGAGAGAGAATCTTTCGTCTGCTGGTTCACTCCCCAAATGGCTGCGATGGTGAGGCTGGACCATGCCTAAGCCAGGAGTCAGGGGCTTCTTCTGGGTCTCCCACACGGGTACAGGGGCCCAAGCACTTGGTCCATCTTCCACTGCCTTCCCTGGCACGTTAACAGGGAGCTAGATCAGATGCGGAGCAGCCAGAACTTGAACCGGCACCCATATGGGATGCTGGTGCTGCTGGCAGTGGCTTTATCCACTTAATGAATTTTTTTACTTACTCATGGAATTGATTAACTAAAGCAGAGGTTCTCTAAGCTGTCTACGCATTATAATTATTGGGAATATTTGAAAAATATCTTTGGGGCCTGTGTTGTGGTACACCTGCAGCTTCACCTGGGGCTTCTGTGTGGGTGGAAGAGACCCACCTCCTGGGCTTTCCCCTGTTGCCTCTGAGGGTGCACGTTGGCAGGAAGGTGGAATTCGAAGCAGAGCTGAGACTTGAACCCAGGCACTCAGATGTGGGATGTAGGCATCCCAAGCCATGTCCCAAATACCTCCCTCTACCATAAGTTTCATAAGTTGTTGTGTTTTTATACATCTTTTCTGATTTCCCTTGTAATTTCTTGTTTGACACATTGGTTACTTAAGGGTGTGCTGTTTGATTTCCCTATGTTGTGAATTTTCCAATTTCCTTTTGTTACTGATTTTTATTTTCATTCAGTGTGGTCAGAAAAAATACTTTACATGATTTCATTCTTTTCAAGTTTATTGAGTATTATTCTGTGGCTTAATGTTTTCCTCTATCCTGGAAAACGTTCCATGTACACTTGAGAATAATTTATGTTCTGATATTGTGGGGTTGTATGCTTTGTATTCATCTGTTGGGCCTGGTTCATTTGTAGTGTCATTCAATTCTTCTGTTTCCTTGCTGGTCTTCTGTCTAGTTTTTCTATCCATTATTGTAAAGTAGGACATTGAACTCTCCTATTCAGCTATTATTGGTTTTTTTTTTTTTTTTTTTTTTTTTTTGACAGGCAGAGTGGACAGTGAGAGAGAGAGAGACAGAGAGAAAGGTCTTCCTTTGCCGTTGGTTCACCCTCCAATGGCCGCCGCTGCAGCCGGCGCACCGCGCTGATCTGATGGCAGGAGCCAGGATCCAGGTGCTTTTCCTGGTCTCCCATGGGGTGCAGGGCCCAAGCACCTGGGCCATCCTCCACTGCACTCCCTGGCCACAGCAGAGAGCTGGCCTGGAAGAGGGGCAACCGGGACAGAATCTGGCGCCCCAACCGGGACTAGAACCCGGTGTGCCGGCGCCGCAAGGTGGAGGATTAGCCTATTGAGCCACGGCGCCGGCTATTATTGGTTTTTAAAGATTGATTTTATTTAATTGAAATGCAGAGTTACAGAGAGAGGGAGAGTCAGAGGAAGAGATATCTTCATCTGCTAGTTCACTCCCCAAATGGCTATACCTGCCAGGTCTGGGCCAGACCAAAACAAGGAACCTTGAATTCCATCTAAGTCTCTCACATGGGTGCAGGGGCCCAAGTACTCAGGCCATCTTCTGCTGCTTTCTCAGGTGCATTAGCAGGGAACTGGATTGGAAGTGGAGCAGCCAGGACTCGAACCAGCGCCCATATGGGATTGCTGGTGTGGCAGACGATAGTTTAACTCACTGTGCCACATTGCTGGCCCCCTCCTGTAAGGTTATTGTTAATAAAGAAGGACTTTTAATTTGCTGTTTGTTTCCTATATTTCCTACCTTTAAATTTTTATTTTTTAATTTAAGAATTCTCCAGTCTGTTGGTTCATTCTCCAAATGCCAGCAATGGCTGGATCTGGGCCAGAACCAAGGCTGAGAACTGAGAACTGAATTCAGGGGTGGCACCTGGGTGGCAGGAACCCAGTTACTTGAGTCATCATTGCCACCTCCCAGGGTCTGCATTAGCTGGAAGCTAGTGTCAGGAGCCAGCACCGGGTATCAAACCCAGGCATTCGAATATCATACAGGAGCATTTTTAAGAGGTGTGTTTGTTTATTTATTAGTTAATTCATTTATTTGAAAGACAGAGTATGAGAGGGAGCAACAGAGACAGGTGCTACCTGCTGATTTACTCCCCAGATGCCTGCAATGGCCTGGTCCGGGCTAGGCCAGATTCAGGAGCCAGGGATTGCATCCTGGTCTCCCACATGAATGGCAGGGCCAAGCACTTGGGCCCTCTTCTGCTGCCTTCCCAGGCACATTAGCAGGAAGCTGGATTGAAAGTGGAGTAGCTGGGACTGGAACTGGGCACCCTGAATGTGGGGTGGCAGCGTGGTCCGCAGTGCCCCTACGTCGGCATCATGGTTGGCATCTTTGCCGCTAGGCTGAACGGCTGCCGGTTTTAGCTTTACTGTCCCTTAGCTCTTCCACCCCTGCTGTCTTGCCTGTTGCACAGCTGTTCCTAGTGGACCCCTTGAATCCCCACGTCATTCTTTGGGGCTGTTTTCTTCATGGTTGTTCTTTTCCCAGTGATTTTTTTTTTAAGCAATGTGGGTTTTTTATGTTTAGTTTGTTTTTTTTTTAACAAAAGATTTATTGATTTATTTGAAAGAGTTACAGAGAGAGGGAGAGAGAGACAGATTGTCCGTCCGCTGGCACATTCGCCAAATGGCTGCAGTGGCCGTAGCTGGGCCAACGGGAAGCCAGGAGCCAGGAACTTCCAGGGCTCAGATACTCTGGCTGTCGTCTTCCGAAGCTTTCCCAGGTGCATTGGCAGGAAGCTGGATCAGAAGTGGAGCAGCCAGGACTCCAACCGGTGGCCCTATGGGATGCTGTCGTCACAGGCAGCAGCTTTACCTGCTATGCCTCAGCACCAGGCCCCCCACCTCAGTGATTCTTACACAGCTAATTCAGCCCCTCAGAATCACCAGCCTAAGGAGATCCGTGCTGAATCTTTTTGTAAAGACAGAAACCTTTCCTTAGTGTGAGTTACCACTCCCTGCTCAGTCTGTCGTGGTCTGAAATCACTTTATCCTGTAGTTTGTTTCCAGGCGTGTGGTGCCTGCTGTAACGTAGTGCATGTCAGGGAGAAGATGAAGTGGAAACAGCCAGAGGGGACCCCTTCCTGGAGTGGGCGTGGATGTGGTGTGCACCGCACGTGTCATGGTTCTCTTTCAGCTCATCCTCGGAATCCCGGAACAGGCCTTAACCCTCCTGCACATGGCCATCGAGCCCGTCCTGGCGGACGGGGCCATCCTGGACAAAGGCCGCGCCATGTTCCTCGTGGCCAAGTGCCAGGTGGCTTCAGCAGCTTCCTGTGATCCCCCGAAGAAAGCCGAAGGTAGGAAGCTGCACGGAGAGTGTTGTTGGCACAGCTCCAGAAAGCTGCAGGTGCAGGGCCCAGAGGAGGAGAGGCATCAGGCTGGGACAGTGTTAAGTTCCGAGTGTTCACACGCATGTGCTATCATCATCATCATCATCATTATGTTAAGGTGTATTTATTTCACAACTGTATGTTGAAGCTGGATTTTCACATCCATGCCTGGCCAGAGTGTTTGAGGGTCAACAAATGGCTATTTTAACCCAGGAAGCAGGTTCTGGGCTACAAATTGGGACTGAAGACCTTTGCAAAAACCTCATTTTAGTGGTTTCTTTTTTCCTCTCTCAAGTAGTGGAGAATTCAGAAGAGTCTGGCACATGTTAAACAAATAAACTGGGTGTCAAGTTTTGAGAACGACGCAAAGTGTTGCTTTACCTGTGTGTGGTTTTCCCCACCTCCCTCAGCTCTGGAGGCTGCCATCGAGAACCTCAATGAAGCCAAGAACTACTTTGCAAAGGTCGACTGCAAAGAGCGCATCCGAGACGTCCTTTACTTCCAGGCCAGGCTCTACCACATGCTGGGGAAGACGCAGGAGAGGAACCGGTGCGCGATGCTCTTCCGGCAGCTGCATCAGGAGCTGCCCTCTCACGGCGTGCCCTTGATCAACCACCTCTAGCGGGCCTCCGTGCAGCGTGAGGTTCTGGACTTGTTGGGGCCCTTGCACGGAGCTGGTTTGTGAGTCCGTCTGCCTTGCCGGTGAAGTGCCTCTGGGCAGTCTGTCTTGTTGCTCGGCAGCACGCAGCTGTCTGTCCCCCCTTTGCTTTCCTTTTGGTCGCAGAGGATGCCCGCGTTTTGTTAATAAACAGCTTTTTTGCTAACAAGTTAGTCCAGGTGTCAGATTATGTTCTCTGGGCAGAGCTGCCCGCGTCTCTCACTCCGTCAGTACCTGAACGCGCTTAGCACACGTGCTGCCAGGAGCGCTTCCAGGAGCTGATGGGGCCCGTTTTTACAAGATGTGCATTTCCTTCTGAAGCTTCCCCACTTTGAGGGGCTGAGCTAGTCTTGTGTTGTGTGGGAAAAACATAGCGGTCCCTGGCAGGATATTAAAGGAAAGATTTTTATGGTTTTGGGACCATTGGCAAGAAACATTTCACAGGTGGCCATTTGGCTCAGCAGTCACGTCACTGCTTGGGCTTCCTGCAGCCCATGTTGAGGGCCTAGATTCGAATCCAGCTCCTCTGCTCTGCCTGCTGATGCACACACTGTGAGGCAGCAGTGACGGCTGACGTAGTTGGGGCCTTACCCCCGGCTTTTGCCTGGCCGAGCCCTTGCTGTTGAGGGCATGTGGGGAGCGAACCAGCAGCTGGAAGATCTTTGTTTCTCTCTCTTTGTCACTCCCTCTCTGACTCAGACTTTCAAATAAATAAATCTTAAAAAAAAAAAATGCAGAGTCCAAAGCTCGGAGATGTGTAGATGCTCCCACCAAATACGCAGTGTATATAATTTCTGTATTTCAAGCCTGTGATTAGGCTGAAACTAGCTACGCTTTGTTCATTCATGAATTTCTCATCTTCCAGTATTCACAGAATAGCTGTGTTTCACGTCCAGTGTAGCAGCTGTACTGACAGCCCTTAAAAGCAACTAGGAACCGACCCCATTGTCTATCTTTTGTCATGGGCTCTTTCTCTGTTAACTCTGTACCTGCCGGCGGGAAGTAATTCCGCTCCAGAGCTCTCTGAAACAGTGTGGAACAGCGCCCTCCAGTGGCCGGCCAAAGATGGCTGCTCTGGAATCAGGTGACTCCGTGTAGAGACAGTGATGCTAATTGCTTATGTTGACATTAAAAAAATCTTGACATGCCTTTAATAGGTTATACAAGGGTACTTCAAAAAGTCTGTGAAGGGGTGGCTAACCTAGCAGTTAAGACACCCATGTCCCCTTATGAAAGAGTACCTTGATACCCAGCTCTGGTATCCTGCTAATGCAGACCCTGGGAGGCATTGGTGGTGGCCTGTATAATTGGGCTCCTGCAGCCACATTGGAGACCTGAGTTGCAGTCTTTTTCTTTCTTTCTTTCTTTCTTTTTTTTTTTTTTTTTTTTTTTTTTAAGATTTATTTATTGGGGGCTGGCAGTATGGCATAGTGGGTAAAGCTGCTGCCTGCAATGCCAGCATCCCCATATGGGCACCAGTTCGAGTCCCAGCTGCTCCACTTCCAATCCAGCTCTCTGCTATGGCCTGGGGAAGCAGTAGAAGATAGTCCGAGTTCTTGGGCCCCTGCACCCATGTGGGAGACCCAGAAGAAATTCCTGGCTCCTGGCTTCTGGTCGGCTCAGCTCCAGCCATTGCAGCCATCTGGGGAGTGAACCAGTGGATGGAAGACCTCTCTCTCTCTCTGCCTCTGCCTCTTTCTGTAATTCTGCCTTTCAAATAAAATAAACCTTTTTTAAAAAGTTTGGCAAGTTGAAAAAAACAGATTTACTTATTCATTTGAAAGGCAGAGTTACAAAGAGAAAGGAAGAGAAAGATCTTCCGCCTGCTGGTTCACTTCCCGAATGACCGTAATAGCTGGGATTAGGCCGGGCTGAAGGCAGGAGTCTGGAATTCCTTCTGGGTCTCCCATATGGGTAGGAGGGGCCCAAGCACTTGGGTCATCTTCCACTGCTCTGCCAGATGCATTAGCAGGGAGCTGGATTGAATGGATGCCCAGGTGGGAGCTGGCCCCTGGGTTGCATTCTTGCCCTTAGCCTTGGCCCAACCCAGTTCTGCCTTTGTGGGGGCATTTAGGGATTGAGTCAGTGGATGGGAATTATTTGTCTCTAAAAAAAAAAAAAAAGTTTGTGGAAAATGGAGTTAAAAGATGTTTATTTTTGTACAAAAACATTCTGAAATGCATGGGTAGTTTTTCTCATAGTATACATTTTCCATAAATCTTTTGAAGAGTCCTATTTGTAAATGGTAAAGTTAAATAACGTAAGGGAGCAGGTGTTCGGTTCAGTGGTTCGGATCCCTGTATCCCACACTGAAGTGCCTGGGTTTGGTTCCTGGTTCCAGCTTCCTACAGATGCATCCCTTGGGAAGTAGAGGTAATGGTTCAAGTATTGGGTTCCTTGGTTTGTTTGTTTATTTATTTGAAAGGAAGGGTGACAGAGAGCAGTCTTCCATCCTCCGGTTCACTCCCCAAATGGCTGCAACAGCCAGGGCTGGGCCAGGTGGAAATCAGCAGCCAGAAGTTCATCCTGGTCTTCTGTGGGGGTGGGAGGGGTGCGAGTTCTTGAGGAGTTTTCTGGCTTCCAGGCACATTAGCAGGAAGCTGGATTGGAAGGGGAGCAGCTGGGCTGGAACTGGCACTGATCCAGGATGGCAGCATCGCAAGTGGTGGCTTAGCCGGCCGCACTGCAATGCCAGCTCCAAACAGTTGGGTTTCTGTCACCCCCAGGGAGACTTGGATTGAATTCCCAGCTCCCAGCTCAGATCCTGGCCCAGCCTTGGCCCCTGCCATTGCAAGCCTTTCTGGAGTGAACCAGTGAATAGGAGCTCGTTATCGCTCAAGGGATTTAAGATTTATTTGAAAAGCAGAGTGACAGAGACTGAGAGACAGAGATCTTTTCCTAACTGGTTGGTTTTGGGGTCAGCGTTGTGGAGGAGCAGGCTAGCTGCTGCTTGTGACGCTGGCACTCCATATGGGGAGCGCTGGTTCGAGTCCTGGCTGCTCCACTTCCAATCCGGCTGCCTGCTGTGTGCCAGGGAAGGCAGCAGGCGATGGCCCGAGTACTTGGGTCCTGGCCACCCATGTGGGAGACCAGATGGAGTTCCAGGCTCCTGGTTTTGTCCTGAGTGAGCCCTGGCTGTTGCTGCCATTTGGGCACTGAAGCAGTGGGTAGAAGAGCTGTCTTTCTCTCCCTCTCTTTCACTTTGCCTTTCAAATAAGTAAATAATTTCTTTAAGATTTATTTATTTGAAAAGCAGAGTTGCAGAGAGGGAGAGGTCGAGGTCTTCCATCCGCTGGTTCACTCCCCAGATGGCCACAAAGGTGGGAGTTGTGATGATCTGAAGCCAGGAGCTGGGAGCTTCCTCCGGGTCTCCCACGTGGGTGCAGGGGCCCCAGGACTTGGGCCATCTTGCACTGCTTTCCCAGGCCATAGCACAGAGCTGGATTGGAAGAGGAGCAGCCAGGACTCGAATTGGCGCCCACATGGGATGCTTGCACTGCAGGCAGCCGCTTTGTTTTTCACAGTTGGCACCTGTGAAGCTGCTTGCCCATCACTGCTCTCAGCAGTTTGTCCCCTTGGCACAGAGGCAGAGCCTGAATCCAGATGGAGGGAGTCCGTGGCACCTGTCATCTGTGACTTGGGTTTGCTGGCTGGGGGCCATGGGAAGTGGAAACATCAGAGGGACCCCAGAACTCAGAACTGTCTGACAGCTAGCTGGCTTTTCCCGGTGGAGGATTTGGTGAGGGAAGGAGGGCCAGTAATTATATGCTGGTATAATTATGGGTGGTGTGAGAACCGGTTAAATGGAGAAAGTTAGGTGAGGAGGGAGTTGAAGCTTATTGGCCAATGGGCATTTGGTCTATGCCAAAGTCTTTGAGGATGATCTCAGAGGAGAAAACCAGGCACACAGTAAGAACTGTTTGTCCTGCAGGTTGTGGGTTAATTGTTCCCGGCCCTGGGGTGCATGCGGGGAACATTTACAGAGAGCCCCGTCAGTTGTGAGTCCTTCACATATATTGTGAACAGGGTGGGTCTTCCCGACAATCCTAAGAGGTCGGCAGTGGCACTTACTCCATTTAATAGATGGAAGAACTGAGGCCCAAGGAGGGTGAGGCCCAAGGTTAGACACATCCAGTGGGTTTTGGAGCTGGGATTCTCACCCACTAAATCTGGAGCCGCCTGCACCCAGAGTTTGGAAGAGTACTTCATGCTTTTGGTTTGTTGAACACGTAACTGATCAGGTTACCTGTCATCTAGCGTCCAGTGGGAGCCAGACCCTCCCCCACAATGCTTGCGAGGTGACTGACACCCCCGTCCAGCCGGTGAGCAAACCAGGCCTGACGGGCCTGATGCGGCGCCTGTGCTGGTGAGGACCAGAGTAGGGCTCAGTCCGAGGCACGGCAGCTCCGCGGTCTCTGCTCTAGTCACCAGGCTGCCTTTGACTCCCCCGTTCCCCGGAGCCTTCCTGCCCTGCTTGTTGGGAGTTTCACATTTTATCCCGACGTTTTGGGGTGATTAAACTGTTTTATTTTTGCTTTTTGGCAGATGTATCCTGAGACAAATGAAGAGCTTCCTCCTCTGTGCCCCACCAACCTCTCCTTTTATGATGTTGTTTATGGTTGGGACTAATGGACCCATTAATCTCCCTGCTGGTTGAAGGGGAAACTTCTCGAGGCCTTTTTTTGGTCAGCATTTTTCTGCTGTCCTGTTGAACAGGAAAGAATCCGGTGAATGAAGGAGACGGATGTGATTAATTCTGCTGTGTGTGTCTGGATAGTCGTGGTCTGGGAGGTGGAATGTGGCAGCAAATGTGGGGTAACGCTGCGCGCGTCAGAAAGGGAGGGAGAAGCCGTACAGGAGACGGTGACGCCGTCTGTTCAGGTTTTCTTTAAATGCAAGACTCAGAGGAGGCCGGCATTGTGGTGCGGCAGGTTAAGCCGCTATTTGGGATGTCGACATCCCATGTCTGAGCCCCGGTTTGAGTCTCCACTGCTCTGCTTCTGATTCAGTTCCCTCCTAGTGTGCTGGGAGGCCCCAGATGGTGCCCAAGTCCTTCAGCCCCTGCTGCCCACGTGGGAGACTGGGATGAAGCTCCCGGCTCCGGCTTCTGCCTGCAGTTCCAGCTCTGGGTGTTGTGGCAATTTGGGGAGTGAACCAGCAGATAGAAGATCTCTCTCTCTGCCACTCTGCCTTTCAAATTAAATAAATAATAATCTTCTAAAAATGCTTTTTTTAAAAAAGATAAGACTCAGAGGATCTGTTTACTTATGTCCTTGGTAAAACAAGATCTACTTGCCTGAAGTTGGGTTTTGTGATGTTCTTGGAGGAGAAAACGCAAACACCAAAGCTAATTCGCATGTTCCTATCTAAGGAAGTGACTTTTTTGAGTGGGCGGACTCCTCTTCTACAAGGGGCCCAGCGTCAGTGACAGGCATGCGTAGTATTCCCTGTTTGTTTTTTTTTTGTTTGTTTGTTTGTTTTTGTTTTTGTTTTTGTTTTTTGACAGGCAGAGTGGACAGTGAGAGAGAGAGAGACAGAGAGAAAGGTCTTCCTTTGCCGTTGGCTCACCCTCCAATGGCCGCCGCGGCCGGCGTGCTGCGGCTGGCGCACCACGCTGATCCGATGGCAGGAGCCAGGGACTTATCCTGGTCTCCCATGGGGTGCAGGACCCAAGCACTTGGGCCATCCTCCACTGCACTCCCTGGCCACAGCAGAGGGCTGGCCTGGAAGAGGGGCAACCGGGACAGAATCCGGCGCCCCGACCGGGACTAGAACCCGGTGTGCCGGCGCCGCAAGGCGGAGGATTAGCCTATGAGCTGCGGCGCTGGCCCTGCTTTGTTGATTCATGTTAAAAGCGCACATAAATTGATGGTGTTATTAGCACTGTGCTAAATATTTTAATATATATTACTAATTATACTATGATTATTAATTACATTAATATACCATATATGACAATATATGATTTATAATTCTATAAATTTATAATTACTAAACTTACATAATTTTATAATATTAATGTATGTCATATATTGTATATATTGTTAACCTTGCTGTGCTAAATCTGAGCTAATATTTTACACACATTATTGTACTTTTACACCTCAGGGGCGGGCGCATGGTGCAGTGTTAACTTGCTGCTTGGGGTGCCCAAATCCCATTTTCAAGTGCCTGGGTCAAGTCCTGGTTACTCTGCTTCCAGCCCAGTTTCCTGCCTCCCTGGGAGGCAGTAGGTGAGGGTCCCTGCCACCATGTGGGAGATCCTGATGGAGTTCTGAGCTTCTGGCTTTGGCCTGGCCCAGCTTCTGCTGTTGCAGAGGCACTTTGGGAGTGAACCAGCAGAGGGAAGATCTCTATCTCTCTGCCTTTCAAAAAAAGAAGATTAAAAGGAAAGTGAGGAGAAAGCAGCCCCCTGCCTCGCGTGGAGCTAGAACTCTTGTCCCTCCCTGACAGCTGGTGAAACCAAAGTGGGAGAGATCAGGTCACCTGCTGTGCCCACAGCTGCTACCTGGTGACACTGGGATCTGAGCCGAGTGTTGGACTCCAAAGTTAGCACTTTGACCCACAGTGATGAGAGTATGCAGGTGCCAGAGCAGACTCCGGGATTGACAGCAGCATTCAGGAAACTTCCAGAAAGAAGTGACTCTCGGGTTACTTAACTGGCATTTAAAGATAGATGCGGTTTTTTGTTTTGTTTTGTTTTGTTTTTGTTTTTAAAGGCAGAGTAACAGGAAGAGAGAGAGAGATTGCGCTTCCATTTGTAGGTTCAATCTTCAAATGCCCATAACAGCCAGGGCTGGGCCGGGCCACAGCCAGCAGGTAGGAACCGAAGCACTTGATCACCAGCTGCTGCCTCCCAGAGGAGCCGGGAGTTGAGCCAGCACTCTGACACGGGATGTGGGCCCACCACGCCTGGCCCTTTAATTGCATATCTTGAGTTGCTGACTGTGTAGCTGCAGTGTTCTGCCATAGGCACTTTAGTAACATGATGTAAACATGCAGAATTATACATTACTACAAATAGGAGAAGGCACCTTAATAAAGCAGGGCTGCCTACGGGCCAAATCTGGCACATCACCTGGTTTTTTTTTCATGGCCTGCTAGCTAATAGTGGCTTTCATGTTTTAAAAAGTTTTTGGTTGAAAAACCAAAAATACTTTGTGACATGTGGAAATTAAATGAAACAACTTTCAGTGTCTGAGAATAAAGTTTTATTGAAACACTGCCATGCCCGTTCACTCATTTATGGCAGTTGGAATGGCAGGGTTGAGGAGTTGCTTTAGAAAGGGGATGGCCTGGGACAGCGCTTGGTTAAGTTGCTGCTTGGGATGCTTGCACCCCGTATCAGAGTGCCTGGGTTCGAGTCCCGGCTCTGCTTCCAGTTCCAGCATCCTGCTGATGTGCACCCTTGCAGGCAGCGGGTGGTGGGCCAAGTACTTGGGAGACCCAGGTTTTTTATGGGCTCTTGGCTTTGGTCTGACTTAGTCTCTGCTGTTGACAGGCATTTTGAGAGTGAAGCAGCTGATCGAAGATCTCTGTCTACCTTTTAAATAAGTAAATCTTAGAAAAAGAAAGAGTATGCTTGCGAAGCCTGTATAATATTTGCTATCTGGCTCTATACAGAAAAAAGTTGCTGACCTCTGCATTAAGATTTACGATAGCCTCAAATGCCCCTGTCGGCCCTAATATGTATTTTTTGGGAGAAGATGTAAAGGAAATACATGAGTATGAGTCTGTAATTTAAAACTGGTTATTGGCCGGCGCCACGGCTCACTAGGCTAATCCTCCGCCTAGCGGCGCCGGCACACCGGGTTCTAGTCCCGGTTGGGGCGCCGGATTCTGTCCCAGTTGCCCCTCTTCCAGGCCAGCTCTCTGCTGTGGCCTGGGAGTGCAGTGGAGGATGGCCCAGGTGCTTGGGCCCTGCACCCCATGGGAGACCAGGAAAAGCACCTGGCTCCTGGCTCCTGCCACCGGATCAGCGCGGTGCGCCGGCCGCGGCGGCCATTGGAGGGTGAACCAACGGCAAAGGAAGACCTTTCTCTCTGTCTCTCTCTCTCACTGTCCACTCTGCCTGTCAAAAAATTAAAAAAAAAAAAAAACTGGTTATTACCATTTCTGTTACTTGCTCTACATTCATTTATAAGCAAAGGGAATAAAACGTTAGTGTTCCTTATGCCCCCTGTCGGAGTCTCTGTCCCGGCTTCCTGCTCATGAATTCAGGGTGCACTCATTCCCTTTGACTTTTTAAACAACTCGGATGTAAGCTTGGGTCCTGGGCAACACATTCCGAGAGGGTTGTAAAACACACACGAGCAGGGGCCCAGCTTTGTGGTGCAGTGGGTTAAGCCCCTGCCTGCGATGCCAGCCTCCCACATGGGCGCTGGTTCAGGTGCAGGCTGCTCCAGCTCTCTGCTAATGGCCTGGAAAAACAGCGGGGGTGGTCCAACTGCCTGGACCCCTGCACCCACGTGCGCGACCTGGATGAAGCTCCTGGCTCCATTGCAGCCACTTGGGGAGTGAACCGATGTGTGGAAGATTCTCTCGGGTGCGCATGTGTGTGCCTGCCTCTCTCTAACTCTGCTTTTCAAATAAATAAATAAATCAAAAAAAAAAAAAAAAAAAAAAAAAACTGCCCAGAGATTGCGCAGCGCCCTGTGCTCCGCACCTTGCTCTTCCCTCCACGCGGGGCTCTGCGAGTTCCTGGTGTTGGACAAACAACGGTAACGCACCCCCTTCCACGAGGTGGAGCAGACCACTGGAAGGAGTGGAACAGGTTTTGTGTCTCCCTCTGCAGACGGCCATCGCAGAGGGCCTCCCAGACTCGGAAAGTGGGGGGGGGGGGCATCTCCCCGGAATCCACAGAAGCGGGCCGGGGATCCGCCCAGCGCGCGAGGAGCCTTCGAAGCTGGGGGCCCTGCGGCCTCCCCCAGCTCCCGAGTCCCGAGGGGCTGCACGGCAGGGCCGGGAAGAGCGGCCTGGGGTCGCTGTCCGCCCGGGACAGGTCTCCGGGCGCCCCCGGGGCCACGCGTCAGACAACTCGTGCGCTCTGGTCCGGCTCCCCGCCCCACCCCTCGCGGTACCGCTACCCAGCCTGTCCAAGCTTCTGGGCGGTCTCCTGCGAAAGTCAGAACTCGGGCGGCTTCCGGGCAGCCTGCCGCATCCAGGCGCGGTGGGGGTGGGAGGCGCACTCCTTCCGCAGCCTCCGGGGCCGGCCCTGCGCAGCGGGTCGGCCGCGAACGCGGGTGGGGGACCCGAAACCTGGGGCGGGACTTAGCCAGCCCAGCGAACTTTCTGAGACTCAGGCGCCGCCCTGCGTTTGGCTAAAACAAAGCGAGCGCCGCCCGCCCGCCCGCCCGCGGAGGAGCACCCGGCAGGTGCGCGCCGAGAGCCGCGGGACGGGCGGGTGCAAAGCGCAGCGCGGCCTCCGGCGCTCCGGCACCCGCCCCGGAGCCCGCGGCCGCGCCTCACTTCCCCTGCCCGCCCCTGCGCCTTGGCCGCGGCCCCGTCGCGCCGGCGCCCGCTTCCCCTCCCCGCCCCGGCGCGGGGCCGAGCCGGCGGGGGCGCGCAGGGAGCGGCGCGTGGCGGGCGCGGGCGGTGCCGCGCCCGGGCTCCCAGCGGCCGCGGCCAATCCCCGCGCAGCCCGAGGCGGCGCCGCGCCCGAGCCGGGCCCCGCGGCTCCGCCCGCCCCCGCCCGCACCGCGGAGAGCAGCGCGCGGCCGCCGAGCGAGCCCCGCCGAGCGGAGCCGGGGGCGCAACGCGCGGGAGGCGGCGGCGCGGAGCCCAGGTGAGCTGGCGGGAGCCGGGCGGGGGCCGGGGCCACCGCCGCAGCAGCAGCCCCCGGGCGCCGTCGCCGTTGCCCTCTCGAGGCGAGGGGGCCGCCGCCGGGGTTGCAGACAGAGCCCCGGGGGCCCCCTCCGCGGAGGGGACCCCACGTGCAGCACCCCACGCCCCGCCACGTGGAGGGATGCGGCCCCCCGCGCCCCTTCCCCGCGTCCGCCTCGGGGCCTCGGGGTGGCCTCGTCGGCTGGGCCGCTACCGGCCTGGGTGGCGGGGGGCGGGCGCAGAGTTTGGAACCGGTGTCGCGGGGCGGCCGGGGCTGTGGAGGGTCTCGGAGGCGGCGTAGGCCCAGCCCCCTCGCGGTTGTCAGGCGGGGGAACTTGGAGCGCGCGGGGGAGGTGGGGCCCGCGGACTTGGCGCGTCCCCTCGCGCGCTGGTCTGGGGCAAACCCAGGCCCCGGCCGCCTGGACACCGGGTGGCAGGACCGCAGAGCAGCGAGGGTGGGGACCTCGGCCGCTTCGCAGGGCACGGTCTGCCCCTGACCACCGCCGCCGCAGGTCCGAAGCCTTGGTCCTTTTGACCTAAATTTGCCTGGGCTGCAGCAGGCGGGGAATGCGGAGAGGAGCCTTACCCTGGCACCTTGCGCCTGACTCCGGGATGCTGGGCCCAGCCCCTCTCGGCGCGGGGTCCTGGGCCCCGGGGCGCCGCCCGGCTTGGGCAGCGGGGTGTTGCCCAGCGCCCAGCCTCTCCGCGGCGGAGGCCGAGGGATGGAGCTTGGGTGGGGACTTGTCAGTGCCAGCCGCGAGACGGGGGCGCCCCGGGCTCGGGTGGGACGCGCGGCGGCCGCCTCCCTGGAGGCAACTTTCGCCCTTCAGCTGAGACAGCCGCCCTGGCGATGGAAACTTGAGGTGCCTTGGAGCTGCGTGGTGTTTACCACTCCCCCGCCGCTGGCTCTGCCAGGGCGGCGCGCCCTGGGTCCCCCTGGCTCCTTTGTTCCTTGAAGAGGCGGGGGTCTGCTGCAGCCAGGCGGGGTGGGGGTGGGAGAGGGGAGGCCCTAGGGATGGGAGCTCCAACCGCCTCACCAAAAAACACACTTTGGGAGTAAACTGTGCCTGCTGGGCAGACGCAGCGTCAGATGGCTGCTCCAGCCCCTTCCTGTAGGAGTGCAGGCGTCGGTGATGAGGGTGCTCGGCGCATTTTTGTAATAAAGAATAATAGGCGTCATCGGGCGAGCTCCTAACTTGGGCAATAATAACGTTAATAACCGGCACTTATTCCTGCTCTGCCCCGAGGCTGTGCTGTGTGGTGCGCGCATCATCTCACACTTAACGCCTACCAGAATCCTGCGCAGATGGGGAGGAGATGGAGGATGGCACTCTTGGTGGCTAGGATTTAGTCCCGGTTTGGAGACGGGCTCAGAGAGGTTGAGTGACTTTCCCGGGGTCGCACAGCCGGGTGCGACTGGGTGTGTGGCGGGGCCGAGAGCCTTTTTGGCCTCACCGCTGGCAGCTTCTTGAGCCCGTGGTTGTCTCCCAGGGGCACAGAGCTCCGCGGGCCCTTTGCAGGTGTCAGGGGCCGATGTAGCCCCTACTACCTAGGCTGTTATTCTTGGCAGGGGGCTGTCTCCCACCCACCCAGGAGCATTTGGACAATGTGGGGGCAGCTTCTGGTGCCTGGGTGGTGCTGAGCACCCTGGCTTGTGGCCGTGCAGAGTTGCCGCATCCCACACGCCCTGTGGTGCCCCCACCGGGAAGCACCACCAGGGATAAAAGTTGTGGGAACGGAGGGGGCAGAGGACCTTGGAAGTTCTGGGGAAATCCCTTCCTTTGGGAGTAAATCCCGGATGCTTCCTGAGGGAGGTGTCGCTTGTGCTGGGCCTTGGGGGGAGGTTGGATGGGAGGGGGAGGGGGAGGGCATGGGGGGGGGGCTAAGCCTGGATGGGAGATGCCCCTGTGAGGGGTAGCGAGGAACGGTTGGGGCGGGGGCACGCCTGCTTCCAGGGCGTTTTAGATTTTAACCTGGACCAGAGCCGGCCTTCCCCTGCTGCGACCCCGTGTCACGGAAGGGCTTGGAGAGGCTGCCTCCCCTCCGAGCTGCTGCCCGAGGGAAGCGGGCAGACCACTGCCCACTTCCGCCGAGGCAGACCACTGCCCACTTCCGCCGAGGCACAGGGCCTGGTCCTGCTGTTTGTCTCTGAAGCTCCGTCTTCCCACCAGTGGCTCCCCTTCGGACGAGGCTGCGGGTTGGCTGTGCTGGCTCCGCCCTCCCGTCCATGGGTCGAGGAGGCTGCGTTGCTATGCTAGAATTGGCCTTTCTTCTTTCCATCTGTGCTCTTCGCTTACTCAGTTGTTAATGGACATTCACACGCGCTTATAAAATCCACGTAACACCAACCTAAACATCTAACACTTTATTTATTGACAGGGAGAGAGATCGAGCTTGCATC